GAAAGAGAGATGAGCGATAAGAGATTCATAATTAGAGCTATCAAAAAATATGAAGAGAAAGAAACATAAGAGCCGGAAAAGAGAAAACATCTTCAAAAAATTAAGAGAAAGAAGAATAGAGAAAGAATACAATTAATTTTGTAAATAATTGGATCAATTGGTGAGCCCATTAAACTCAACACGAGTCTTTCAACTTGCTTTATCTGCACTCGTTTCCAAAAGACCATTCATCCTAATACTACTTCATAGCGATCACTCTTAATTTTGGAGTTCTCTCCAAATATATAGAAACGGTAGTATGAATAGATCAATCAATTCTTTTTAATTATCATTGATTGTGTAGTTCAATACTTATACGGTCTTCGGATCTATCTCATTTCATTGCGTTCGATTTGTCTTTATGTCCCTCCTGTCTAAAAATCTCTCAGAAACCACTCTTTATATATATCATTTCGCACCAACGATCATTCCTCCGCTTTCATCGGTAATCGAGATACCAAAGACTTACAAGTTTTTATCTGTTTTATCTTTGAGCCACATTGTAGTGGAAGAGTTCTTGTTCTGATACCATTTGTAATGTCCCGTGAATATTACAGATGTTAAAACTTTTCTCACAAACTAATACGAGTATTTTTACCGCAATATTCGGATCTTTCTCATTCTAGTATATTTGATTCGTCTCTTTGTCTCTCTTACCTAGAAGTCTCTCAGGAACCACTTTTTATATTTATCTTTTCATATCAAGAATCATTTTTCGCTTTCATCGATAACCGAAATATCATAAATATACCCTAAATTTTTAAACGACTCTTAACCACCGAGATAGTGATTTTCGTTTAATAGTTAATGTTTTAGTATAGAAATTAAAAAAATATATATATTTAAAAAAAATGTATTTCATATATTTATCTTGAAAAGTTTTTTTATTTTTACTATTTTATTAATTAGGGATAGATCCTGCCTAAAATCGTACGAATATATAAGCCCAAACCCAATATAAGGCCCAAGCAAGAGTTCTAGTTAGAAAAAGGGGTAAAAGCGTCTTTTCCTACCGACACGGAATCAATTCGACCTAATCCACCGATAAAATTACTGAAATAACCCCAGGAGTAAAAAACACATTAGATTAGGGTTTTATTTCCTTCTTTTTTTCCAACCGACTTTGCCTGAGTCGGCGGATCTCAAGAGCTCACGCGTCTTTATATATAGAGCCCCAGCCCTTTTTTTTCTATCGTGTTGGCGCATCTCCCCCCGAATCTAGATTAGGGTTTTCTCGTCAGAGGGTTTGCGGAAGGAATCCTTGTGGTGAAATCGAAATCTTCGGTTTTTTTGGTTGTTGATTTCGCACCATAAATCTCCCGGGTTTTCTCGAGCGTTTCTGCGTTGTAGGTTGAATTCAAGCTAGGGTTTACGTTTTTGGGTTCGGATTAATCACTTTTTACCTCCCTTACGCTCGAATCTGAGAAGGAAAGGAGTAAACAATGTCTCCATCTTTCCCTTGCCCCCCGTCTGGTTATGCGAGGAACTGGGCGAACGGTCAGAACTTGGTCGAATCGACTAAGGTTCGTTGAGCCAATTCTGGTTCCTGTCTGTTGATTGTCTGGGTAAAAATTGTTTTCGGGCTTTAATTGTTTCGTGAAAATCTTCGAATCTGATCATTCTTCCGGCGAGTCTGGTTAAAACATGAGGCTTAGTCTTGGTATCGTATTTTTATGTTCTTCCCTATTGCTTAAACATGTTAGAACCTTGATCTGCTCTTGTTTCATATGTTTATAACACCATGGTATGCATATAGATTACCATAGCATATATATATGTATATAAGTGTGTACCCGCTTTATGTACTCGTAACGTTAATGGTTGACTAATGGCTTCTCAAACATTCGGTAAGTTGTAAGTTTTTTCTTCTGGTTAATTGTGAGTTTGGTTGTTCAATCTACAAAGAACATGTGTTCTTCGATGTAACAGGATGATAGTTTTCCTGAGACTCTGTGTATGTGTAGACATTTGTTTAAAGTTTTCACCTTGTCTGTGTCCGTATAGTGTTCCCGCACGAGTTGGTGTGGTTACTAGTTTACAATTTTCCATGAGACCCCGAGTCTAAATCCTTTGTTCTGATGGATTAAAGATCGAAAGATGCAAACTCGATCCAAAACGGGTACTCCGGAAGGGGGAGAAACGGAGAGATAAGAAAGAAAGGCAGGAGAAGTCCTGCAAATCCCTTAAGCATGAACAACAATATCTTCACTGCAAGAAAATCCATGATGAGTCCGAACAGCTTGAGAAGAGCGGTTTGACGGAAGAACATGAGCAGCCACAGAATCTTTGTTATCTATCCGATGGAAGCCAGAGCAATAACAAGAGAAAAAGAGAGGATCCTCCTCCTGTTGTAGAGAGTCATGCCAAGGGTTTGTGATACAATTTCTTGATCATGAAGGTGGATTATGTTTCGAAATTTGCCTGCTTTTGCTCATGGGATGATGTTAAATTCTTGCAGGTGTATCTTCAGGTAAACCTCTACGCATTCGGTTTGTGTTCAGAAAGCACAAGGAATCTGAAACTGTCCCTCAAGAGGAACATGTTCCACAATGTCCTGCTCAATGTGAGAAGGCAGCACAAGACAGGAAGAGCTCCGAACAAGAAGAGAACTTGCCCTCAACTTCCCAAGGGAAGGCGGATGCTGGAATTGCCATTGACACGAGAAAGAAGAAGCACAAGAAGAGCAAAGAATCCCGATACAATGCTTTGTTTGACGATCTGTCTCTCCCTGCCCTCGCTTCTACCGGCCTGGATGATGTTGATGATGACGAAGATTGGCTCTTTGGTAGTAGGAGGCCAGAGAAGCGTAGAGGCGAAGCAGCGGTAGAAACGGGCAAAGATGAGAGCATGAACTTGGCAAGTTGGGGAGATTTCTCTTGGCGGAGACCTACACGATCCCTTTTTGATGTCCCATCAAATTCTTTGTGGTTCTTTTGATCGGCTCAGCTTGTACAGTCACAGAGAATCTATGTATTGTCAGATAGAGATGTATGTACAATTTTGATTCAACGCAAAAACTGAAGTGAATGAAATCAGATTGAAACAGGCATAACAAATCCAAATACAGTGCTAGAAACATGAATTGAGTTGAGCTGAATTTAGATCGTTTTTTAGAGTTTCAATCAAATTGTATCCGACAAATTGGCGAGAACCAATTTGACCATCTTAGAATCTGATTTCGATTTTTAATTAATATAAATTTGGGTTCAGTTCGAATTGGTGTTTTGAGTGATAAAATCTAATTTTTCAAAAAAATTATCAGTTTTTTTCGATTACTTTTTTTATTAGATTCGTTTCGATTTTATTTTTTCGGATCTAGAAAAATAATAACTGTTCTATGTTTGATTCGATTCGGTTATAATTATTTCTTCGGTTCGTTTATTCAGATTAATGTGGTTTTCGCAGTTATACGATGATGACGTGTACCCGACTCGTAGATCGGATATATATATATATGTATATATGTTTCAAATCATAAGGTTGTCTTATTTGTACACCATTTTTGTCGCATTCTTGTATCAATTCAACTTTCTTTCTTTTTTCATTCCATAAATGAACCTATAAAGTCGAAACAAAACCAATCGAAATGAATATTTCAAAATCCAATATATCTAAGTCGACCAAAAACAATTTTTTAAACCTAATTGATCGGATATAAAAATTAACTTTTAATAAATACAATTTAAAAAAATTAAAAATGAATAAAAATAGTTTAGAATCCAACCGAATAAGACTTGAAGATGTTATAAAATCCCCCAGCAACAAGAACAAAGGAAAAGAAGATTAGTCTTACATATAACAACACACCAAGAACAAGAAGAACTCATCTGTCTTGTCTTCATTCATCGCCAGGAGGTTACCCAAATGCTCAAACTTGTTAGAACCCTGCAAACCAACTTCACCGCCACAAAAGAAAAGAAAAAAAACGGGTACGAATGAATAAGCAAGCATAAATGTTGCAGCTTTGATGTCGAATTCTCCGGCTTTCGGGTTTTTTTTTTGGTGTTTACCTAATCTTTGAGTGATCACAAGAAGGCACATCGGTTATTTTTCTTTTTCTTCTTCTTCTGCTTTGGAGGCTGAAGCACAACCTTTATAGCCGCATCAAATACCGCCTTCACGTTCTGCAGACGAAAAATTGCGCCAATGAAAACTCCGGCCTCTTACAAGAGTTCAGTGCAACAAAGGGGCAATGTATGTATATACGTATATTGTTTATACGTACCATCTGCGTTTTCGAACTACACTCAATGTAGACTGGAGCTCCGATCAGTTTCCTTAGTTCCTCGCCCTTTGTTACTCGAAAAGAAAAGGGCAAATAAACGCTAAGCATTTCGGGAACTAAACATGTGGAGAATTAATTACCATTGAAAGAGAGCATTAGCCCGTGGAGTACCTGGCTTGTAGTGATTGGCACTGCCCCGGGATGGTCTATGAAGAACTGCTTGTCATCTCGGAGATCTGCAGATACCGAAATTTGAAAACGAAATGACAATCTCCTTCAACGATCAAAATTCAGTAAGAATGTTGAAATCATTTCTTCAGTCACAGGACAGAAAATCAGAACTCTACTTTCTTATTTTCAAACTATGGACCATCTTATTATAACCATTTAGAGTGTTATTAGCCACTTGAAACTTTTATCATCAAAAATTGCCATTTTAGAATCTTTTTGCCTAAGTTTATTAAACTCTCATTAATTATTTTCAAGTACCAAACCCCATATTCTAACCATTTAGAATGTTATTAGCCACTTCAAGGTGGTTTGAAGCTCCATATTATCGATTTTCATTACCACGAAAGATTTTCAGACAAAAACGAGGAAGAATACCGAGTTTTGTTCCAACAAGGATAATTGGAACGCCGGGAGCATAATGCCTGAGCTCAGGAATCCACTGAAATAAAGCATAAAACAAAAAAAAAACAGCCAAATTTAGCCAGGAGATTTCATTAAGCATCATAATTCACGATGAGAAGAACGGTGGAATGACATGAGCAAAACAAACCTTCTTCGCCACATTCTCGTAACTGGCCTTGCTGATAAGTGAGAAAGCAAGAATGAAGACGTCTGCTCCACGATAGCTCAAAGGTCGTAACCTGTTGTAGTCTTCCTGACCTGCTCACAGCCCGAGAAACCATAAGGGTTCAAACCCGAAGCAAGAATGTTTCCGACAAATGTTACGACAGATTACCGGCAGTATCCCACAAGCCGAGATTGACAGTGTTCCCATCCACCACCACATTGGCACTGAAGTTGTCGAAAACAGTTGGAACATAATCCTATCAACCAAACAGAAAGCTGCAGATTAAGCTAAGCCCTAATCATCAAAAGACATAATGTTGTTCAACAAAGTGAATCTTCCCATCAAGACATTACTCAGTACACAGCGAGGATTAAACATGAAGATCTGAGTTCAAGATCAGCTGTCATGAAATGTTAGCAGACGGTTTAACGAAAAGATCAAATTTTCTCAACCAAAAATTCAAAGTTTTGTTCGATGACCCGAAATATTCAATGAACAAAATTGCAGATCTTAGATCATAAAATGACAAAAAAAGCATCAATTTTAGAAACAAATAAATTGACAAACAAACAGGCAAAACATTACATTTTCCCAAACCAAATTTGACAGAAAAACCTCTAAGATCATTCATCTGCTTCTTCATGTTATCTCTCTCGAACCCACAATAACAATCGCCCACAAGAACAAGAAATTGAAATCTGCAAAGACAAGAGATCAAAACATTACCGTGGGGAAAGTGTTGCTTGTGTAAGAAATCAGCATGCATGTTTTTCCGACGGCACCATCGCCGACGGTGACGCACTTTATGAACCTCGACGCGCTCATCTTCGCCGGATCCGGAAAACCCTAAAATCGCTCAGTCCCAACTCAAAACCTTCTTCTCTCTTCCTTTCAAATCGTCGCCATTTCCGAAGAACCCCCAAAGGACGAAACCTTTCTCGCTCGTCCGTGAAACCCTAATCGAATTCCAACGCGAAGCTTGAGAATCTGTAAAACCCAAATCGCAGAAACGGGGAAATTTCAAAATGGTGAGAGAGATTGGAGAAATTTTTTTGCTTTTTCTATCTTTTTTGGCGGTTGGAGACTGAGATGAGGTATACAGACAACCTTGTGCCAGCTAATGGATGCTACACCAATGCCTTATCACATACGCACACCATCATTCAAAAAATAAAAATATAATTTATATATTTTTTGGATTATTTATCAAAGGAACTGGAGAGTCATGCTCTGTCAAACCATTTATTTTGCTTTCAATAAACGTCAAAGGAAATTGCATTTGAATGATATTTTATATAAAATTTTCGCATTTTGAATGAAAGTTCTAAACTTTAACTTTATCAATTGCAATCAAAATAAGCATATTTACTTAGTTACTGCTAATTATGTATATCTATCTCACAATATACAATTTCTTTTTTTGTTATCTCCAACCCACGTAACGCTTTCATTTGCCTTGTAGCGAAAGAACCACTTTTTTTTTAGCTTGTACATGGCCCTCTTTTGAAAGTGCCAACGGAAGATATTTAAATTTTGGAACAAAGTTAATTATTATTAGTATTAATTATACATAATTATAACAAGAATAAAATAAAACTAAATTTATAAAAATATCTTTTCAAATTGAACATTTATTTCTTTTGAAAAATATTATTCCAATAAAATATTTTATATATAATTACTATAAATTATTATTATTAAAATATATATATATATATTTATAAAAATTAATTACCACTTCAGAATTTATTTTTATCATTAACTTATTATTAAATTAAAATCAACTTTAAATTAATCTTTAAATAGATTTCATAATTACCAAAATATATCAATAAGAAATTAAAATAATTATTTTAAAAAATCTATTATATTTATGATAGAAACTCTAAATTTATGGATTCATTTGAAAAAATACTACAAAATTTATTTATTATACTTATATAATTTTATATAAATTAATAAACTTTTAAAATATATATAATAAAAAATAGAAAAATTATATATATATATATATATATATATATATATATATATATATTGGCCTTAAAAGCAATAAATAATCAAATCTCCAACTTAGTATGTTTGGACTAAAAGAAACATTCATTGTAAATAAATATGAACGAATATCTACAGAAATAAAGGGAGGTTTGAAACGGGTAACCAATCATTTGGATGAATATAGTCAAGAACGTGCCACGCAGTGCTTGGACACTATGTAATCTGATTTAATTTAATTTTTTAAAAAATATTTTCCTATATTATGAATTGCAAGAAATGAAAATATAACGGGAACGTGCAAAACACTAATTCGGCTGCTCGCCAATCACAACGCGACACCTCATCACCAATGGCGTGGGACTCAGGTTTGGATAGTAACAACAAAAACTTTAATAAATAATATTTTTTAATAAAATATCTATATATTATGTAAAAATGAATAGATATAAAATAAAAAAACTAGAAAATAAGAAACAAAAATTGGAAATTCAGACTATCCATCTCACATTTAAAATTTTTAAGCATGATATACTATAGAAAGTGTTTAATTATTGTTTTTATGTGTCCTTTTTTGGACGAGGTGTGATTGTGTTTAACCACCCATGATCGTGCTCTAATGAATTCGAAATCTTAATTAGAAATGTTGTCCTCTCACCAAAAAACTTTAGTTCTAGTTATAAAGCTAAAAAAACTGTTTAATCCGTATATTTATATATATATATATATATATATATATATATATTATTACCATCAATAAAAGATGTAATAATTTCATGGCTATTTTACATTTTTAGCGGATAACATTTTATTTGGAAATAGTATTTTGTTCTTTGCCCCAAAAAAAATATTATTCTGTTGGATACATAAACTGAACAAATGAAATAAAAAACCAAACATAATCATGTCGTTGAGTAGATATTAGTAAGTTGAGATTAAGACTTTGGTCGGCTTAGCCGCTTAAGATTCTTCTTTTCTTTTCTTTTTTCTTTCATCATCATCATCATCATCATCATCATCATCATCATCATCATCATCATCATCATCATCATTATTATTATTATTATTATTATTATTAAAACAATGGTGTTCATATTCAACCACATTTAATCCTATTTTCTAGCTGAGCGAAATTAATCTTTTAGTCATTTTATGAAAATAAAATTGTACAAATAATTAATATTTCAAACCAAAACATGTATTGGTCAATAATAATTATTTTTACAATAAATTCATGATTTAAATTTTAGATTTTTAGGATTGATATAGTTTAAAATGATCGATTAGTTAGGGGTATATATAATCTTTAATTCTAAATAATTAATATCCTTTTAATAACACTTTAGAAAGTTTGGTACCATTGAACAGGTAAACAAAATCAGCACGGAATAAATAAAATAATTTATTAAAAAAATAAAGGAAGAACGGTAATAATGGCACTAATTGCGCAATGATATAAGATTAGACCAACCATTATAAAGTGGAGTTTAGCTCTTAGGGCCCTTCGTTTACCAAATCTCCACTAACCAACACCTCTTTTTCCATTAATTACTATTTAATCAAATTAAACTCCATTAATCTTGTGATTAAAATGGATATTCAATATTAACAAAAAAACGATTGAATTAACAAAAATCGATTAAAATGATTTTTAAATTAACATCAATTACAATTCATTATTTACTTTTAGATAAAACCATTATGACAAAATATTTAAATATCATCTTCGACAAATCATCATATGAAATTTACGTATTTAAATGCCAGTCTTAATGACGAACTTAAACGTAAATATTTATTTCGCTCAGAAACGTGAACGGTAATTCAAGAAATATGAGCAATAAATGAAAACTGAATCCCGTATTATTAAAATTTCCATATATCCATCATCGATATTATAAAGAATTAAATCTAAAGACTTTAATGTAGTGGAAACAAAGGTCAAATATGGAAATAAAAAAAAATCAAGAACAGAATCGGTCCTCTACATTTTGAATAACATTATTACCAAAAACAAAAGTAGTGTTTTATGAACTGAGAGGAAGATGAAAGAGAGAAACAGAAACCTCTTCATCAAGAAGAGGTTCTCCATTGAAGCTCGATCTGAATCCGACCGTTCTTGGAGTCTATCAGATGGTACTTCTCGTTGATCCTTCGGTTGCTCACAACGTCAGCAAGGTTTATCACCACATACCCAAGAGTTTCCTGTTCAAGAAACAAGAACATGTTCATTCACAGACGCTACACATTCATGTTTTCGTAGACCTTGAAACGAAAAAATATCCGAAAAGTATGATCAGTTTAAGTCGAGTTAGGGTTTCTGAGGAAGAAAAATGTCGGTTTCAGGAGTTTACCTTTGGATGGATCAACCCCATGCGAGAAGAGGTGCTGACGACTTCCACGTGAAGTTTATCGTTTGTTGGAGGCTCGTCTAACGTGAACTGGAAGTCTTCATCCCATCTCGGGTCTCTGTTTTTCTTTACACGCTGCATCAAGAACGTAGAATACGATCTTTACACATGGGAAAGATGAGATCTTTGATGTCTTTGGAAGGAAAAGGAGCAATCTTTCGAAGTTTGCATATGAAAAAAAATTGCATTTTCCATTGAACATACCTTAGTTTTTTTCTCCTCTCCTCTGAACAGCAAACGGACGAAAGGATTTGTGTGATACTTCCCTTCTACATCCTCAGCTTCATGTACTATAACTACAAGCAAGCCACCACCAGATGGTGTTCCCTCAGGTGCCTTCTCTACTGCATTTGGATCATCTAAGTTGTCCGGGATTGCGTCCTCTTTGAAGGGTTTGTACTCAACCTCAACAACGAGCTGTCCACGTGATTTCTCGGCCTGGGGCTCATTCGGGTCCATGGATTTTAAGAGTTCAAGTGTCATAACTTTTGGCTCCTCGGGTGCAAGGTCTTTTAGCGGAATCACATTCATTCCTATCTTATCGGGTTTACCGACCTGCATTTGCACATCAACAAGACAAGCCATTGATCTCCCAAGATTACTGATGTAAGCCTCAGTAACAAGTGAAACAACAAAGGAAGAGTGTGCAGCTTTGAGTTAACAGTGTCCATATTCTCCAAATAAGGAAATTTCCGGGGTTTGATAGGATATACCTTCGATGATAGTTTGATAGGATATGATACTATGGATCTAAACTAGTTTAAAGCTACATATGAGAGATTTCCGGGTTTAACAATAAGCTATACCTGTTCCCAGTCATACACAGTCAGTTCCAATTCTTGGGTCTCTGGATCTTTGACAACCATATTGAACTCCTCGTTCCATTCTGGATTCAGATTACTGTGTTTAACAACCGTTTTCTTTCCGGGAAGCTTGTCCCCGGTGAGCGTTAATTTCACGTAAGGGTCTGATCCGCCGAGGAAATCCTTCCTCTTAAGTTTAATTGCCCTGACAACCTTAACATCAAGTATTCCGACAGGTTTCAACATGGCTCTGCAGGTCACGAAATTCGGATTTAGCAAGTCATGCGGGCAAACAGCCTTCAAGTGGGACCTAAAATATATGGCGTGAAAAAATATGAAAACATGAAATGCATACTTAGAAGGATCCATTATCTGCACATTCAGGCTCTTTGGCCAGAGGTACATTTTTGCAACCTGGTCTTTTATTAGTTCCTGCAGTGACAGATATTTTTCCAAGAGTTGATAATTTAGCAATTTTCAACCCGAAGAACGGTAAAACCTTGATAATGAGAAGAGGCCCGACATCTAAAACTCACCTGGACAAAACGATATAAGCCAGGAATGGCCATGACATCTACTCCCAGTAACTTCAGTCCGAAATCAACATGTGGCTGCAGAACAGTTTTGAGGCGAACAGAAAACAGAAGATGAAATCTTGAACATTACTCTTTATAGTTAGTTTTTTTTAAAAGGCTAAACCCCCTTTGAATACCTTTGACATGAGGGACACGGCTATATTGGCGAAACAGGGGAAAGACGGGACCAATGGCTTCAGGGTGATCCTTGGAGTGGCAAAAACTTGCAAATCCACCACCTGAAAAACTCTTGTAAGAAATGATAACGCCATACGAAAACTTACTGAAAAAATACAAAAAATGAACTACCTGAACAGTTGCTCTTAGCCCAAATGCTTTAGCTGCAACAAGGACATTGGGGTTAGCTGCCCACTTAATCGACAACTCCAAGATCAGTTCTTTGTCATCAGTGGTGTAAAATTTGATTCCTGCAACGAGAACGAACCAAAGATAAAGGCAAACTTCCAAGAATAAGAATTTCATCTCTAGATACAGCATAATCTTTAAAGAAAATAAAAGAAAAATGACACCATAATCACATTTTGATGATGATACCTGCTCACACAATGTAACTATCCAGTATCCAGTGAAATATGCAACAACAATCAGTATCAGCAGCTCCATTCAAACAATAACATTGATGCATTAGGTTTACCGACTAACAAGTACAATCAAGGGATTATCAGAGACCATACAGACAAGCAACCTCGAGCTGAGGAGGAGGATAGAGGAGAGTACAAGATTCTATTTCAAGCAAAGAGGAGAAAGGGCAACCTTGGAAAGTTGGTGGAAGTGAACCCAAAGTGAGCTTTTCAAACTCAACAGATTCTATTTTGTACTTTGGAGTTTGCTCTACAATGATAGGCTTTGCCACTGTGGTCGCCGTCTTACAAATGGCCTGAAGGTTTCAAAGAGCAAATTAACCTTTATTTCTGAGACAAAAAGGATAATTTCAGACAACAAGTGAAAGAGAAGACATCACCTTGTTCAGATAAGGCCACATATTCTCAATGAACTTGTTAAGCCAGTCAATCTTCAAACAGAAAGACACTCATTATAAACAGCAAGAACACTGATTTTTTTTTCTTTCAGGAAAACAAAAAAGAAGAGATGCAAGTGTAAACATACTCGATCGAAATCCGGATTTTTCACCCACAAAGGTATTTCAGGGAACATTCTTGCCAAGCTTTCTGGCTCCAACTCAGCCAAAGGTCGAATTTCAGGGTCCTGAAGGTATCAACAAACACAGCATTAAGTAATCACAAGAACCCAGAATCATCAGAAGAAGAAATAACCTCGCTGCATATGGCCAGGAAGAACATTAAAACCTATCCAACACACAAAAGTTCCACTTTCGGAAAGCCTATGATCTTACTTCCGCAATGTTCTTGTCAGCAAATGATAACAAAAGAACCCTAAACTCATCAATTCACAGAAGTTTGAGAACAACATCTGAGTGATCTTCTGTTATTTGCACGGAAGGAATGATCAAATCAAATTTTTTTTTTTAATCTGGTAATCAAAACGCATGAACGGCGAAGACATTCTGAGATTAATAAACAAAGAACAAACGAGAAATTGAGAGACTATGGGAGGAAAGACATGCCTGGACATCAGTGGATTGGGAATAGATGAACATGAAGTAGCCGATCACAACCCCTATCGTTGTTCCAAACCCGAAACCAAACGCACCCATCACTGTACTGATTATACCCATCTCTCAGATCTCCGATTTCTTCCTCTTCAAAAGCTCAAGAACAAAACTTGGTCCAAACCCAGACGATAAAATCGCCTCAAAACTTTAAAAGAACACCCGAAATTCAGAGCAGTTCATCCACATCTACCGACCATCGTTGTTAATGCGAGAAAACGACGAGACAGAGAGAGAGAGAGAGGGGTAAAAATCTGAAGAGAAAATGGAGAAACGGAGTAATGAAGAGGAAGATGATAAGGAATAAATAATTTCATGTGGCCATGCTTTTACGTTTCAGATCATCACACCATTGGGTTTCTTCGACTTGAAAGCGATTTGCATTACTGTTTGAAGAAATGTTCAAGGGGGCGTTATGCACGGTCCCTGTCTGTAACGTCCACGCTACTATTCACAGATTATGATTTCTTTTTATGCGTGTAGGTCCAAATATCATTGCCCCTTCACTCTCTTTCATCTACTCGTCGGCAAACATATACACACACCCCATATGTATATATACACCCAAATATCTTTCCACAACATTTAATAACCATGTATCAATAATATATGGACATTTCGGTTCGGTTTACTCTAACCGAACGAAACCGACTAAATTAAGCCGAATTGAATCGTGATTTCGTTTTTCTCCTTCTAAAATACGGTTTAAATCTATGGTTTTTGAGATAATTATTATCATGTATTCAAGTCAATTGGGTTATTTGGTTTCATATTACTAGACATATTGCTTTCTTACCGCATGTGGAAATTTCCTAATATTTAATTCAACTTCTAAATATAATTCGATGATAATTTGTGAATGATATTTTTCTCTTTTTGGAAAAAAATTAACGAGAAAACATTTGGACACGACAAAAGACGGACAAGACAAAAAGAGACCAAAATAAAAACATAAAAAGACCTGCTTTATTATCCCTTGGAACAGTTCTTGGCAAACAAATGCCGACACTTTGAAATTGAGTAAAATATTAATGGAAATTAATATTCGATAGAATCTCGCATTATATGAAAATTATACAACACGGTAGGTTATATTGTTGGGTTTTTATAAAGGAAATTATTGTAAGTAAAGGAATGGTCTTTAAGTTTTTAACATGAAAGATGAACGGTTGATCTCTCTCAACGCCAAACGCCAAACGCCAAACGCCGTTTTCATCCACAAATATCCCGACATCGCCGCAAATCGGCCTGCAGAATTCGCAAGCTACAAGACTTTCGACGGGTTGTACCGCAGTGGTTGCGGTTGCGAGATGCGGCATTTTCAGAGCGTTTGATAGCGATTATGAACAATTAGTACTGACTGGTTGATAAGTTATTATTGACAGCGATTGCGGATGGGTGCGGTTAGAATGAATGGTTCGTTGCGGTTGCAATTGCGTTTTGATATTTAAATTATCAAAAAAATTATTATTTTAAAATAATTTTTTATAATAGTTTTAATTAAATTTTTAGGATCATTTGAAAAAATTATTTATTAAATTTATAATAATCAAACAATAAATTTAAAATATAAATATTATCAATTTAAATTATTTTTAAGTAATAAAATTATTATAAAAATTATTAAAAATAATCATTATTAAATCTAAAAAGTATACTATTATATTTTTTTATATTAAAATATAATAATAGAAAATAATATCAAATCATAACACTAAACAAAATCATCACCAATATATATATATTAGTGTTTTATATAATTTTTAATAAGGATATTTTAGTTTTTTTTTGTCAAAACACCGGAAACCGCTAGCAAAACGCAAATTAGAAGTTGCGATTAGAAAACACAAGTTTGGCTGTGGCTGGGGTGATTGCGGTTCAACCAGTCAATTTTTTAATCGCCTTCAACCGTCGGAAATCACAACCGTGCCATTTGCGAGTAGCAGCGGCATAACCACTCACCCCCATAATCATTTCACGATTTCACAATCTTAAAGAGACTCCTCAGCGATTCCTATCCCGACCCCTCGGATCATTGCCCATTGTTACAAACCATTGTTTCCTCTCCTTGTCATTGCCCATTGTTACAAACCATTGTTTCCTCTCCTTGTCGAACTCGCCGATCCACCAATTACGTGGACTGAATGCAAATCGTGGCTCGCTGCCATGGCCGGCGAGCGTCAGGCCACCACCATGGCCACGGTGTACAGGCAGGACGTTACCAAGTTCCCTAAGACATTTCGTTATATGACTGCTAAGAAAACCCTAGACCTTATAGAAACAAAAATCTACTCTAATAACAATTAGAGGTTGGATATTTCTATTTTGGATATTCAAAATCAAATGAGCATGATAATATCTATTATATAACCACATTTTGATTGAACAATTCTCTTATAGCTTGATTGATAAATATATCTTTTTTTTTAGTTGGTTATTTTTGTAATTTTATGAAGATTTCTACAAGTTTGAAATATAATTATGTAATATGGATAAAAGAATTCAAAAAAGTTGATAATGAACGAAAAATAAGATGAGAAAAATATGAAGAATGGAGTGTTAATCTCTTATTCGTGCATATTCCAAATCCCATTTAATCATGTTACATATATATAGAAGAAACAAATAAAAAAAATACAAAGAAATAAATAAATCCTAAACGGGTATATACATTAAAGGAAAGAAGAAGATTATTGATCCCAAATTTATTCTAACGTTAATATGATGCAAATCACATCTAATCAAATCCACAATGTTGCAGATTATGAAATGAGAGATTGTGGCAGCCACCGTATTTTACGTCTTCATGGCTTAAGCCATAGGATGTTCATTAAGTGATCATTACATGTTTTCTAACATTCGAGGCTTTATAATCTTCAACATTTTATACACGTGCATGAATTGGATAGTGTTCTTTTGGAGACTCGTTGCTTGAGTAGATAAATCAAATTTAATTTTGTGACATATAAAACTATATATTTTATTCAATCTAATAGATAGCTAAACTAGTTTTGGTTATAACATTGATGCCTACTCAAAACCTTTCCATAAACGTAATTAAGGTATGTTCCTTAATTGTTAGATTCAAACCAAATAATAAACATCTCACTGAAAAATTTCAGTTTCCAAGTTTGTGCAACGAAGGAAACCAAAACCAGCGGAAATATACAAGTATTATATGTATGCCTATATATGTGTTTTTTATTTTTTTTAAAATACCTACGTGTCATTTTTTTTGCTGATGTGGTATTTTTTTTATTACGTAGAAGTGATATAATATTTATTTGGTATTTTATCAAAAACACAAGAAAAATTATATCAAACAAAAAATTTAATATATATATATATGTGTGTGTGTGTGTAAATTGTAAACTGTGAATATATACTAAAGATAAAGAAGGAGAAGAAGAAGATAATTATAAGTAAACTGAATTGTTTTCAATACCATATTAATCAGTGTCCTAACGTAAAATCATCCGTGGAGGTTTTTATATATTCGAAAATAAAGGACAAATGAATTAATGAAGAAACAAAAAAAAACGAAAATCATAATTAATGAAAACATCTTCTGATCCAACTCACGCTTATATATATACGTTGTTCACCATGTAAAATTGTACAGCAACCAAAAAAAAAGAACATTATGGGGAAGACACTGATGTTCTTGGTGACATTGTTCTTGACCACCATGGCTGCTTATCCAACTCACGCCTACGAAGACGATGGGAAACCGATCGTCGATCCAAACATCGAAATTCCGTTGGCCGAATCTCCCGAAGCGGACGATTACAATCGGAATCTGTTCAAAGGGTATTCGGACCGAGACATGAAGCATTTCCTCGAAACATGCATGATGACATGGGAATGCGGTCGTGTCATTTACGAAGAGATATTACAGAATAAAAGATCCTCGGATGCTTGTTGTCGTGAAATGTTGGAGAAAGGCAAAGACTGCCACATTGCAATGGCTAGGTTTTGGTTCTCACTGTATGAGTACAAACAATATGCTTCTAGGGCTATTCCCAAGAGTTATATTGTTTGGGACCGGTGTTATAGGGACGTTGGGCCCCATGCACCGTCTGCATGATCCAATATCTAATTAAACTATGATGTCATATACATTATATATATATATATATGTGTGTGTTTGATATATATTTTCTCTATCTATATAATAACGAGTTATACTATAATGATGTTTGTATTGTGTTGTGTTGATTCGGGACACCCTTTTTGACTATTCGTGGGTTGATCCGTATGAATTTTGGAATATCCAAATTTTTGGTATTATCTGATTTTAAATCCGAATATTTTGGAATTTGATTTTGTATCGATAAGATTTGGACATCTAGAAAATGCTAAGATACTCTTAGATGTCCGAATCCAATTATCTATTCTTGATTCTCAACCAAAGTCTTCATCAATGTTTGGTGCAAATAATATTAGAAGACGAAACATAAGGCATGTTTTGATTTTGGGATTAAAAAATTAAAGATATATTAATAATATTAATAAATGACCTAGGGTATTTTGATCATATTTTTATGTGTACTCTATAATCTGGCCATGAAATTACAAAAATGACGGACGGATGATCTTACTCGTAAAACCCGATCAATTATCCTCCCAAAACGATATCAATTTGAGTGATAAAGACGATAAATATTTTTATTAGAACCAATCAGTTAGCACAAAACGACATCAATTTGATATAAAACAAAGTAAATCAAAGATAATATAATCCAAACTTAGATAGTTTAACCGGTGGAATGATGATGTAAAAAATATGTTATGAACTGAATTCGAACTTCAATTTTAAAAAGAGACGTATATTACAAATTATATGATTGGTTCTATTTTCGAGATTAGTTTGGATATTGGTTTAGTATACCCGGTTTTGGTGAAAGTTGTTACTTCCAAATTTGCTGGAAATGAACACCAAGGATTTTATTTATTCTATGCGTAGACTTGTACTACTAACATGTAATAAACGTAAATCATATAATTTGATTTTTTTTTTTATTATTGGGTGTTTCTTTGTCCTCCTCTTCACACCGTCTTCGAAACACTCTCTGTCTCTTTAGTAGCCTTCTTGAACATAACCACGAACGGTTGGTCGCTCAACGCCAAACGCCGAATGCCGTTTTCATCCACGAATATCCCGACATCGCCGCAAATCGGCCTGCAGAACTCGCAATCTCGGGGACAAAACACAAACTTATAATCATTTCTCGATTTCACGATCTTGAAGAAACTCCTCAGCGATTCCTTTCCCGACCTCCTCAGAGCATTGCCCGTTGTTACGAACCACTGTTTCCTCTGTTTGTCGAACTCGTCGATCCACCAATACGTGGACTGAATGCAAATCGTGGCTGCGACGTCGGTCTTGATGTTGAGATCCTCGGACTCTGGTACGAAACCAACCCTAGATGTCCAGCCCGAAAATTTTACGGGAATGCCATCGTCGACTTCGGAATTTTCTTGTACTATGTCGAGTGGACAGAGCTCGCTGCCGCGACCGGCGAGCGTCAGGCCGCCACCGTGGCCACGGAGTACAGGGAGGACGTAGTAGCCGACGCCGGGTCTTAGGAGATCGCCGTCAACGTCGCGGACCGCGGTACCAGTCGCGTGTGCGATTAGAAACGCGACGGCTAAGGCAAACGCGAAGTAAAGCTTAGGGTTCATCATGTTGTGTTTTTTTTTTTGGGTTTTTCGGTGGTTGAGTATTGTAGATCTTGAATGTTTTCGACAAGAATAGATGGGATGATGCGTATGTATTTATATACAGTATATATATGTGCTTTCACGTATATGTATATATATGCATGGATATACATATATGTATATATAATACACAAGTGTCGTGTATATAGCCGCCCGCGAGGCGGCTGCGACGCTTTCGTACAAAACGATTGACATGCACACGTAGCTGTTCATATCTTTTCTTTTCTTTTTTTATAAAAGTTTCAGTTCCATTCCTTTCTTTTGTTCATATCTTTTTTCATTCCGTTCTTTTTAGGTCGAACGAAGTTTATTTAATTCATATTTATGTAGAAATTCCGGTTATAACTTTGATCAAAATGAAACCCACGAAATTAAAATATTATATTGCAATATAAAAACAGTAGTATGAATAATTTAATAATTCGATATAAAAAGAGTATTTCCATGTATTCAATATTGACCGATAACAACGAAACTATTCGATAATATATATTTATATACGCACTACATCTTTTTACTGCTTATTTTGTAAAGCTTATGGGCATTAAAAAACTTGGGAAGGCGATAAGAACTTTGACTAAGATTGGGATAATGACAAGAAGACAAGAAATTAAATAAATTGAATATACGAATAACAAATTAATGGAGCCAAAGCATATGCTTTCTTTTTTTTCTTTTTCCTTTTAAAAAAAAAAAGCATATGCTTTCACTTCACCTGAGAGTTGAGAACTTCTCTACCATATCGAGGTTCTACTTTCCAAGGATTGATCATAGACATCGACCATGTCCAGGTCGATGACATAGGCAACGGTTGATAACACTTCGAATGATGTCCTAACCATCGATCAAATCCGAGACATTAGAGATTTTTTCTGCCACCGGAATTTTGTTTTGTCCTAATAAATATTTTCTTTTTTTTTAGTTTTCAATTATTTCTATATTATATTCAGATTTACTACAATGTGGTTTTTTCTAAATCAAAACCAATCATTTTTTAGACAAAGTTCGTTCGAATTTAAATCTTTCTACCTACTAACTTTATTCATCAATACATCATGTTTTCAAATTTATGTATCTTTTAAATAATAAAATATAAATCAACTCTATTTTAATTACTAATAAGTAGATTTGCGAAAATAAAAATAAAAATATTGTACACAAAACATTATTTCTCAATTAGTTTCACAATCTTTTTGAAACAAGTAAAAATAACATAATTTCCATCAAAGGGTTTTATTCCATATGTAAAATAACCCCAATACTAACATACAAACAGTCAACACAATCCTTTTATTAGACAAACATCGGCATGTTACATTGTTTCAGTAGAGATGTTCCTCTTCTTAGCCTTCTTGAACACAACCTCAAAGGGCCAATCGCTCAATGCCAGACGCAGAACGCCGTTTTCATCCTCGAATATCCCGACATCGCCGCAGATCGGACGACAAGATTCACAGTTCGAGGGACAGAAAACAATCTTGTAAGCATCACCAAGATTTTCCGATTTCTCGATCTTGAAGAGACTGTTCACAGATCCCGGTCCAAACCCATCTGAACCGGCACCCGTCGAGACGAACCACTTGTTTCTTTCTCCGTCGAATTCGCCGATCCCCCAGAACGGCGTTTTCTGGCAAACCGTGATTCCAAGATCGATCTCGATGATGAGATCCGTTGATTCTGGCACGAACGCTACTTTAGGAGCCCAGTTTGAGAATCTTACACGAGCTGCTTCCTCGGTTACGGAGTTTGCCTGAATAACGTTTCCTTTAACGGAACAGAACTCGGTATGGTTAAACATGACGGTGACGCCACCGCCACGGCTGCAGCCACGTTTCGCCGGAAGGATGTGGTAACTGATGCCGGGGAGGAGAATTTCGCCGTCCGTGTCGAGAACTGCAGCGGCTACGTTTGCGTTTGCCGTGAGAAACGCGGCTACGGCAAACGCGAAGTAAAGCTTGGGATTCATAGTGATTGTGTGTATCGTTATGCAGTTGTATGATGTGAAGTTGAACGTTATTGGAGCGAAGAGGGATACGTACCAACGTACGTATTTATATACGGTGTAATATGGAATATATATATACACACACGTAGGCGGCTGAAACGCTTGTCAAATATAAAATTTCAAGTTTGTTTGGTGGAATATACAATGTCAAATATGGATTCATACAATGAATTAGGCGATTGATGAAGTAAGTGGTGATAGGGAAAACACCAAAAAATCCTTAAATCTTATTAAATTCTTAACTATTTACAAATCTAAATAAATGTTCATTTTTTTATAAATATAATCCAGAAACTCTATAATTTTTATTAATTTTTTATTTCAATCTCAACTAAAAATATATTTACGCTATTAATCTACTGTCGTATCTTTGCATGCAATATTTATTAATTGATATAAAAATAAATTATCGTAAGTATTTTCTTTTTCCTATACTGAACAATATCCCTAAAAATATTATTGTCATACTATATTCTGAACAGGAAAAACTATGAACATAAACAATAGGGATATAAGATTTTATTGGCTTGATAATCAATCCTTTAATGATTGAAGTAAATCCAACTACGATGTCTATATTTTTATTTATGGATATTTCATGCAGCCGCCTACGTATATAATTCACATTGTTACATCTTTGACTTTGACCGCAGGTTCCAACCCAATGGCATTCATTCATTCATTACAGAATCTCCTCTTGCAAGAATCAATGAGGTGCATTGAACATAAAAGGTTCAAGAATTAGGGGTGGCCCAATGGTTCGATCCAATATATTCGGTTAATGTTAATTCAGATTCAATTATTTTGGATTTTAAAAATTCATTACCAAAGAGTTATTTAATTTGAATGGATTCAATTTCGTTCTGTTACGGTTCAATCCAGTTATATCTAACTAAAATTGTAATCAAATTTACGATCAAATAAAAATTCGGTACGGTTATAACAACAGATAAAACAAATTTTTGAAACAATATTTAAGAAATTTTTTTAAAATCACACTTTAATTACATACGATAATTATAAAATAATATCATTATGCTAAATTCAGAATAAATATAACATATATTGCAAATTAATTGGTGATACATGGTTGGACAGATTTGTAATTCGGATTTCAAAAAATTCTAACCACACATTTATTTAATTTTAATCGATTTGGTTTATATATAAATCGATCGGGTTTGGTTCGGTCTTCAAATAACCAAACCGTTCACCCACTGGCCCCACCCCTATCAAGAATCATGATTCAGTGAGAGATGAATAACTCATCTCTCCAATTTCTTCACTAGAACATAAATCACTACCCGTCGACTGCGATAATCCGGGTGCCATTGCGTCTGATCCACCCGTCCAACCGCGAAATCCTTCAACGCAGACGCCAGGAAATGCTCGAGAACCGCATCTGCAGGTAGGAACCAAAGTGAAAAACCATTTCCCGAGCGAATTCACCGTCGTGGCGTAAGAGAAAGCAATGGAGAAATCTCTCACCGTTTCGGAGTTCTCCTGCCAGAAAGATAGTCGTTTGGCGGCCGCAAAGTCCCAGAAGAGTCTCTAACAAATGCTCGACGGCTTCCTCACTGTAGATAACATCTGAGCCTAATACTGGAAGTGCATATATATATGAACTCGTGTTCGCATTATGAGGAAAAGGAAGCCGATACACAATCATATACATATATATATATATATACCGTAATCTGGGAGAGGTTCGATCAAATCGGGATCCGGATCATCTCCCCAAACAAGCTCCTTGATCACGGCAGATCCCCGCAAGTTTCCTCCTTGCAAATTGGTTTCGGCATTCTTCTTCAGCAACCGCAGTCTGTCGGGTAGATCGGTGAGGAAAACGTTACCTCCCAACAATGCCGCTATGCAACTGCAAAGAACAAAGCGAGAACGGTGATGTTACAGACGAACACTAGCTTTTAAAGTTAAAGGAACATAGAGATTTTAAGCTTGTGGGTTTTTGCTCACCCGACTAAACCGCAGCCGGAGCCCAACTCGACGACTTTCTTGCCTTGGAGAGAAAGGTTCTCGGACTCGACGGCATGCTCCAGAAACTTCCCCAGCACCACTCCACTGTCCCACATCACTGACCCGGTCACTCCAGGTGTGCCCTTTTCACATGGATGGACGGCACGAGAAGAAGTAAGCTATGCGTTTCTTTCGGCAATCAAATAAGCTAATCACGAAACGAATAAACGGAAAGAACTATCTCTTCTTCAAATTCCCGGCTCGTTCCCCATCCTTTTTCCTCGTCTTTCTCTCCATCTATCCTTCTTCCTCCCTCCCTCCCTCACCATTCCTCTATCTTTCTACATCTCCCCCTATCTTTTCACCTTCTTGACCATTAAAAACACGTATTGAAGATACATGAATGTCCTACCAGTTCCTCCAACTATACTAACAGAGTGTTGAAACACACATGCTCTGTTCTATGAGCCTCCGATTACATCTCCACCAAAACATGGAAGGGAGATATGGCTCGACCAATGAAACTAAAATCTGCAAGAAAATGCTCATTACTTACGGAAATTGAACCTCATTAATCCCAAAGCAGACCAATTTATGTCTCAATCATCACCTTCTTCAGCCAAAACCAACAGAAAAACGATAACATCCACAAAAAACACGAGAGACCCACGAATCAAGAGTGAACAGAGAGGCAGCATACGTCTTACCAGCGAAGAAGGTGACTGGAGGATAGAGAGAGGATGCCCACAAGCGTCGATACGGAGCTGAAGAGAAGACTGAGAAACGAAGGCATTTGGGGCAAACGAAGTCGGTGCCTGCAGAGACCACAGAAGCAGAATCTCCGACGCTGCAGAGTCCAAGTCCGATTCCGATTCAGAATCCGACCCAGATTCCGATTCCGCCGCCGGAAACCCACCAACGACCACTACCTCTCCTCCGTAACCACCCATGAGCCGTGTCTTCACCATTGTCTCTTCCTCCTCACCCATTTCCCCAGCTCTGGCACCCCCCGTCGCAGTGAAACCACTATAGAACATGTTATGGCCATATCTAGGCCCACCTTTAGTTTCAACCCAATAACCCATTTTCTTTCACGGCCCAAATACCATCACCACTATTTCTATTTATAGCCATCCCATTTTTTTTAAAAAAAAAATAGGCAAACTTTATAAACTCTAAAAAAAAAAAGTCTCCATATATACGGTCTAAAACCGAATACCCTCGACGGAACAATACCCGTATGCCCCTAAATCGACACAATTACAAACACAAGAACCAGACTAAACATATTTAGTAGTAGCCATTGACACACCTAGAAAAATTTATCGACAGAGGCAATATAAAAATTACTATAATTTAATAAATAAATTTAAATTTTTTATGGGGTATTTAACAATTTTTATTAGAAATTTATCAAATTCATAATGAATTTTATTTTTTTAATAAAAAGAGTGGGGACATATGCCCTATAGCTCATAACATAGATCCGTCCATGACAGCAGTTAATGACGTGAGAGAGTGATGAAGTACTCGTCGGCAAGTAGAACAGGATCTAGCTTCGGAGAGGAGCCAAGGAGAGTGGATGAAGTTCCAAACCATGCAATTTAAGTTTGGCACAAGTTGCGGAATAGCCGAGCGTTCCGTTCCAACCAACCATCAGAGAAGGATGAAACTAAGCAGTCCTCGGTTACGGGATCGATCATATATTTCAAAAAGATTTAATTCAAGTATTGAAAAATATCTCATATAAACTTTATAAGATGTATCAAATAAATCCTTCGGTTCAGATAATTTGTTTTGTAGAGTGACAATTTTATATTAAACTTTAATGATATACAAAGGGAAGCATAAGCAATTAAGCATTATTGTAAAAGTGAAAAAGAAAAAAGGAAAAGGAATCGAGACGATAAGAATGTTTAATAATGAAATCCAAGTATTGGAGCAGACAAAGTACGTGGCTTTTAGATATGGTCGGTGCGCAAAGTCATAATAATTCCAATGAGCAACGTAATCGCACCATGGCAAATCCAAATCCCGATATAGTAAAGCGAATGCCCACGTAAGCCCTAGCAACCCTAAAATCGCAAGGGATACGAATATCTGACGGGAAAATAATTATATTTTCATGAAGGCAAAAACATATTTTGATATATTTGAAAAAATTATTTGAATATGCTTAAGCAGAAGAAACAAATGAATAAAATAAGATAAGAGTTATTTTATATATATGTGTTTATTCATAAATTGTCTTCTAATTAAATTGATAGTAATTAATACAAATTTATATAAAAATGAATAATCGGGTCAATATATATATATATATATATATATATATATATATATTCTACTTTTTGGAAAAATCAATACGACCCGGAACCCATGAGAGTGAATTGCTCCTAAAAACAGATCTCTTGCCGTCTGTAGTTGTTTTATTCATTTAATTTCTATGAAATATTTTCTAAGTTAACCGAAAAAACATTTACATTTCGTATTTAAATATCGATGGGAAATATTGATATTAGAAACAAATGTAAAAACCTAGATTGATCGTCAAATAACAAGTATAAATTGGTTTTGTGTAAACCATGTCAAAGTTCCATATCATCATGGCTACAATAAAATCAATTAATTTATTTTTAATTTTAAATATTTTAAAACATATTATTTAGACCTTTAAAATTCGAGTATTCTAGAATACATTTTATCATTGGACGTTTGAGATTTATCTGTATATAATAAGACAAAAGGATAATTTTCAGTGTTTTGTATTTTATAACGGTTCAATCTTTAGTCTAAACTAAGATAATAAATGAAGGTAGAGATTAATTAGGTATTTGATAATTTAATTCGGATTCAGTTTTTATATTATATTGGTTAAACTTGTTTTTGTTGGGATCCGATTTTAATTGATAAAAAAATTTAATTTCGAATGAAATTATTATTTTCTTTAGTTTTTGATTATTTTTATATTATTTTTATTTTGGATACATTTATCTTTTAATCAATTCGGTCCGAAACGATTTTGATTAAAGTATCAACAGAAGAAATCAATGACAAATAAATTGTGAATTAATTTTCAATGCATTTTTAATATTGAAGTTTTATTAATTTATAACACTAAATGTCTATTTTGACAAAAATTAAACAAAACATGAGCATCATATATTAATTACATTTCACACGTCACATAATGAAAACGAAGAAAATTGAAAAAACAAGACAACCTCACCTAACTCACAAAAAAAAATACACATTACCAAAATGTCTATATATATATATATATTATTTCTCTATAGGCCGTTTGATGGGTCTATATACATCTATATATATGTGTGTATACATTGTGTATGCATATATTGACATATATTATTCCGAAAGGCTACATTTTAAATTCAATAAGCAAAGAGATTGGAACCCTCTTTCGGTGAGAGAGACCTCATCAACTTGTCACTAATGCCGAAGAATTAAACTTGAACATCATCATCATCATCACGAACCATCCTCATTGTCGCACGGTTGACGAATAAAGTTTAATCCATGGGAATAAATAATCACAAAGAAGTTCCATATACACTTATCATTATCATCATCATCATCATCATCATCATCATCACCCGTGGTACATTTTGATTGCAATATGCAATTGCTACTCCTACTCGGGAGTATTTCCACATAAGAAGTTCCATACACTTATCATAGTTATATAATCACAAAGAAGAAGCATATAATCGGTGAATAGTTTTGGATCTACAAACTAGTCTTCCACTATTTGTGTTTTAATTTATGTTGTGAGTTTCCTTTTGTTGATGGAATATATTTAAGAAATTCAGAATTGGTTTTCCATATAGATATATAGAGAGAGGCTATCTCAATAAATAAAAAATATAGAATATCTTCTAACAAAAATATTAACAAATAAAAAAATCATTTATATGATAATCCCTTCACCTTTAGGCACAAATCTCAATCCTGTATTTTGTATAAGAACTTCCACTAATTAAACATTGGAATTGTATATTATAGATACCTACGTGTTATAGAGAAATGATGTACATAAAATGGCACATAGAATTACGGACGCATAAAATGCCACATAAAAAACCCTAATCGAACCATATTAATATCTAGAAAACCATATGGATGTGAATCTAAACGTCAACTCATATTTATTTGAGTCCATAAATCCCAATGGATTTATATATGAAAATGCACAATAACCTCCGTTTTAAATCATGCAGCTATGCATTATTTTTACATCTAAACAACAAAATTCGTCATTTTTTTATAAGAAGTATTCATAAAACAGAATTCAATATTATATGTATATTCTTTTTTTTGGTTAACCTAATCTTTTTTTACCGGCCTTATCTCTTTTTTAGATTTAAAAAAAAAAGATTTAAAAAGTTATACACACATCACATATCGACGTTCTAGTCGACAACCTTATTTTTTCGCCTACAAGATTTGGTAATGCCTATTGGCTATACAGCAACATCGAGAATGACGATGTCCTTATATGCCTATATTCATGTCTTATTTTAGTTATTTATGTCCAATAATTGGAGCTGTTTATGGTAAAAATCCGGACGAATCATTTTGCAGCTAATTTTAATATATATTTCCATATAATATTAGTACATTAAACTATTTCGAAATAATAAAACATATTATTAGCCTTAATTAACTCCCAACATACAAAAATATATTCGGTTTATTTAATTTCCTATGGTTATTATAGTAGGCACATGCAGACGTTGCACGTAGACCGACCAATCCTTTCTCGTGAAGAAAATATCACAGCGGAGATGACGACTGGCTGATCTTGCGCCACGTGGCGAATACCCAGAAAACAAGCGATTGGGTCCCACCCATTCGTCGTCGAGGGCGCGAGAACCATGCCAAGGAAAGTGGGATCCACGCTGACAGTGAGGTGTATGGTCGGGATCTACGTAGCGGATCCCGAGATCAACGGCTGAGGTTCTTCCAACGGCATTATCTTATTTTTCTCGATCCAACGGCTGACATTAAATCGGCGGTGACCGCCCTCAAGTGAATTCCCCCGGGACTCGGGCTTTGAGAACTGAGAAGTCGCCCACTGTTTGCGACCTGTCGGTAAACGTTCGAGTCTATAACGTCGACATTTTGATACAAATATATATAATAAAAAAAGAAAATATTTATTAGAAATTTAAAAAAAAATGTTTTCTCAAAGTACGAAGCAAAGCTCATAGGTGGATTCGCTTATAAAAAGGATAGCAAGAAGCTGTAGAGAGATTGTCCGTTCCAGGTCGGGTTCTTTACAGAAACCCTAATTTTGAGATCAAAGAAAAGGGTTCTCTAGTTATGTTTCCTTAGATTGTCTCCTCGGATTTTTTTTTTCGAGGAAAGTTTCAATCTTTTATACTGATCTTCTTGAAACGTTTTGTTGATTATTACAAAATTATAAAATGTTTTAGAAATTTCATAATCTCGATCTCTTCCATAAACTTTGGAGAAAAAAATAAGAAAATCATCGTCTTTTTCTGTTAAAAGCTTTGTAAATCTTCAAGCTTTTTTATCGCATTGTTTTAAAGCCATGGAAACGATCTTTGAACCGGTACGGTCGGAGAAGACGAAACCGTTCAAGAACCCTAAAAGAAAGGGCTCTCGTGGTCCTCTCTCGAGAAAACCCACCGGAAGTTATTATCCGGCAAACTTACCGGCGACTTCTCCGCCGCTGAATGTTCTGCCGGCGTCAGCTTCTCCTCTGTACCTTCCCTTCTGCTCCAACAACAACAGCTTCTCGCACTCGCAGCCTCCACTTCTCCCGCTGCCACGTGTCAACAGCTCTCTCCCTCTGCCACGTGCTAAATCCTCTATCCCTCTGCCACGTGTCAACAGCATCTCTTCCTCTCCGGCGAGATTCTCCGGCAAAGCTTCGGACAAGTGTCAACCACAGTCGCAGAGAGCACCCGAAGCTAAACCGGCCCCGACACTCACCCGAACCGGTTCCGTACCGGTCGGATCGTATCCGGTTGACGGTTACCCCGGTCCAGCTTTGATGTTATTGTCTCCGCCGCCGAGTAGTTTGCCGATGCCGAGGTTTACGATCAAGCCGAATCTGAGTTGCAACGCCGAAGCTTCCGCCGGAGATGACGGCGGAGCCGGCGATAATCTCCGGCGCCTTCTACGGCTCCGGTGAGGTGATCACGAGCAATGGATCGTGGGTTTGGTTGATGTAAAATAAAAAGCCCATTAAAAGCCCATATGTTTGTTCTGATGGGCTTTGATAAATATGGGCTTGAGTCTATCTAGTTTTAAAGTGATAGAACTCCCTCAAGCGTGTGAAGGCTGGTTCCGACAAGGAATAAGCCTAATCCAATTATCTTTCATTTTTATTTTTTTCTTTCTGGAATTACCTTTTTATTAAATTGCTAATTAAACATACTTTCTGTATAAATTCGAAGTATTCGCTGTTTGGTTTGCTCCACAAGAACATCTATATAACCGATATTTGTATTACCTTCATGTAAAAATCCCACGGATATATACATCAAAATGCAAATAATAAGAAATTGATGACATAATTATAAATGATGTTTCATGGTATAACAACAACCTGATTAAAAACATGACAAAATCAGTTAAAAATACATGGGAAATGCAGTTAAATCACATCATATAGATTTTGATTACTCCATGTGACTTAAACTTGATATTCTGGTCAAAGTGCAAGTGTAACACCATTGTTAGAAGCAAGAGAGTATCTTTCTCAACCCTCAGTGAATCTGTGGCCACAGTTTGGGCAAGTATAGTACGTGGTCTGCCCTTCGTCCGCCGATCTTGTCTGCATTCCACAAATTTAGAGGAAGACTGTTGTAAAACCTCGAAAGCAAAACAACAATTCAAACACGGGTTTGAGGACAAAGGAAAAGCCGAGGGCACCTGTCTGGTTGTGTACACGAGTTCCGGGTGCCCACATTTTTCGCACATCTTCTTGATCTGCAAAACAGAGAACAACCCATATCCGGAGATTAATCAAACGAGAACACGATACATCATAGTTTAGGACGGATATCATTGTTCTGTTTCCTTCCAAGTTTCAACCTTTGGCAGTTCACTCTCGGCTTGTGCGTGTCCTTCATCAAACAGTGATATGCCCAGTTCTCTCCTGATATCCTGCACATGGAAATCATTTGAGTTCCTATAAGGTTCTTCTAGCAAACTTTGATCCGTCACTCACTACCATTTGCCCCATTCACTCATCTTATTCTTACAACCGCACAAAGGAACCGACTAACCTCAGCGAAAAGGTTTTATAAATATAACTATCAGGGTTTTGATCTAAGATCTAGAACAAAAATAATGACAGAACAATGTCCATTACTGGCACGAGAATGATACTCGGAAACCACAGAAAAGATCTCGGCTATTCATCACAATTCTAGTCCTAAGATAGTACCAAGTGGGGTTGAAAATAGGTATGAGTTCGTTTTGTATACAGATGTTTATGCGCATCTATAGGCATTTGCAAACAATTCACAGAACAGATGGTCAAAGAAAAGTTACCTCAGCACTAACTGTGTAAGATATTTCTTTGCCGATGATCTCTGAAAACAATGAAAAGCTTGTATCAACAATGAAAAGCTTATAATCGATCAAGCAGCAAACAAACTTGGCATCGCCAAATACGTATAAACACCAAACAATCTATATATGAATTTGAATCTCAAATGCGCGTAAATATAACTTTTCTACCTCTTGCATCTCGCTTGCACAAGCAAAGAGGACACTCCGCGTATTTGGGCGATTTCAAAATCAGCATCGTCCCGCACAAGTTGCAGAATAAGAAACCGCTTTCCAGAGATTTCGCCATCAGAGAAACTTCGCCCAAAGACAAACCAAACGTATCTACAGATTTCAAATCCTTAGAGAACCAAAACTAATAGATACACGAACTCGGAAGATCAATCAATTGATTCATTCCATGGAAGATAACAAGTAACAGCAGATACAAGCACGAGCTTATTATTTGTTCAGCTCACCAATGAACGCAAACGATGGTCAACCAGGGTCTTCTTCGGAAGATAAGATTCCGGTGGAAGCGGTGGAGGATAAGGTTCCGGCGAGTCGTTTAGATTCCGACGGATAGAGCTCGGAGGCAAGGCCGGAGGAGAAGGAAAAAAATAGGGTTTTAGTTTTTTTTTTTTCGAACCGAAAAATAGGGTTTTAGAGTAACTCAAATATATTTCCGGTTAAGGAAACCGAACCGTGAACTAAACCGGGGATTGAAACTAAATAGGCCCAACGTGAGCCCATTTAAAATGGGCTCAGTAACAGGCCCAATGAAAAAAAATATTTATTTTTTTAGCAATGCAGGTGATTGGTAATTTAGTTACGAAAACATATTTCGAAAAAATAGTACCATTACTATGCCTGTCAGGTGGAAACCATGCATTGGGCATATTGCAGAATAAACTTTTAGAAAAATTATCTCCCTAAAATGCAATGAACGTAAGAATTAATTATCGTTCCAAAAATTAAAATATAAATCAGATTATTTATATTGTGGTGATAATCATGTGTTAACGATCGATTTAGACAGAACAAAAATGTTGATTATCACCATCTGGTAACCAAATACAGCACTCACAGATTCTCAATTTCTCACAAACCCATTGTTAATTTCTCACAGATCAACAATCGATTCTAACAAACCCATGCCCATTCTCAGGCATTAACAATCGGTATCCGATTGTCGACAGGAACTCACAGCAAAATTCACAGAGATCCGACAACGACGAGCACGAGATCGACAGAAGGAGAAAAAGAAATCACAGAAAAGGGAGAAGAAGAAGAAGAATGGAACTAACAGTCACAGAGAGGCGGCGAAGAACCGAGGCGAGGCAGACCAGAGAGAGACAGAGGCGACCGACGAGAGGTGCAGAGAGAGAGAAGACCGGCGACGAGAGGTGAAAATATTCTGTCGTCGATTCTAGAAAGGCACTAACCAATAATAGCGTTGTAAGGGAACAAGGCTGGGAGAGAGAGAGTAAATTTGAGTGAAAAGCAAATTGATTTAGGGTTTACAGGAGATTTCTGTTTCTTTTTAGAGCTTTGGTTTGCAGATTCAGGGGAGATTTAGGGTTTCGTAAGTTTGTGTTTGCAGATGAGAATTTGAAAAACTAAAATTGTGATTTGTGTTTTGGGTTTTGGGTTAAGTGGGCTGACCCATTAAGCCCATCAATTTATTGGGTTAAAACTATTAAACCCATTAGATAAATGTAACCCAAATATATAACCCAAACATGATTTTTATTGGATACCCAATTAGCCCAACCCATTTGACAATTGTTTATGGATAATAATAATAAATATCACAGAAATAACAAATGGTCATGGATCGACATCATCACGTGCGTTGAATGCAGGAGAGGAAAGGGTAATGATATCTGCATGGGTCGCAATCCACCAATTTCGTATATATATAGACCAGAGATTTCTTCAAAATCTACATGATGAGCTACGTTTAATATATGTACCGTAGGTGCTGTTCCCTATGTCTGCTATTTGTATAATCTTGTCGGATAATTATTTTATATATATATATATATATATATATATGAATTCTATATTCGTTTTCTATTTCTTTTAATTGTCTCTCTCAAAAGTTCATTTGATCATACATATATAAATATAAATTCAGGTTAATATATAAAAAGCATTATAAGGGCATGTAAATGAAACAATATTGGATCCACGAACGAAACACTTCGACAATTATTTAAGGAGCGCCGTATATATTATATCGTTAAGGTCAAACTACAAAAATACGAGAATATATTGATTTCTATATGCTTACAAACAAATGTCTCCATCCATGCACGATCTTGAAGAATAACAAAATGCAATTTATATGCTACAAAAAAAAGCATGGTATGCACTCAAATGATTCAGTCCGATCACTGTTTGAAATATAAATATTGATTTTGATTACTAAAATCCAAATAATACGGAATAAACGAAACGACTTACGAAAAGATTCGTATATATATATATATAATACATATTCATATTTTCGTTATAGATGACAGAGATCCCGATGTTGGTTATGAAGTAGTCATTAAAAAACTTTTATATTGAGTTATTAACGACAGATCTAAACTAATAACTTAATGTTATTCTAAATGAATTTGATATCCGTGATATATATTAAGGGTGGCCGCTTGGGTTCGGGAATTTAGTTTCGATCCAATCCGAACCGAAATTAAACCGGATCAAATCGAAGTGAATAACATTCGGTTCTAATTTGGTATATTTTTTCTAAACCGTCTTTGAACCGAACCAGATGAGTATCGAACTAAAATTCAAATTACCCACCAATATATGTGCAAATATTATGGTTTGGTACTTATTTGATATTTATATAACACGTTTCTAATTTGATATAATTTTTATAAAACCGAAAACATCATTCTCAAACTGAACCATTTGAATACCGAATCAATAACTGAATTGATATATATATATATATATATATTTTTTCTTTTTTGCTGTTCAACAATAAATAATCTAGTTGGAAAAAAATAAATATCAAAATGTTACTACAACACTCTGCAGAAGTTGGATATGTCATATGTCGTTGGAAGAAAGCGATGACGTGAGTTTGATAAGAATTTAATGCACTTAGAACCATCGAAAGTGCAAATTCATAAAAACTTTGGAATATAAAAATTAAATAAAGCTGCAACCTATACTATATATTAAAAATCTTGGAAATTCAAGAAAAGCGAATGATTCTTTCTTTTGCCAATCGATTTTTAAACAATATTTTCGGTTAATAATCCACATAGATTTTCTTTCAGCATCAAAAGATTATTTTTTTTTCTCTCTCTAAGATTGTGTATGCATTTGCTAATATTCTTTCAAAAATAAAAATGGACCAACATTAGGAGTTGAGATTCCTCTCTATAAATATAAAAACAAATGTTGCCGATGGGCTTATAATTTCGATAAACTTTATTCGCCATTCATTGAGGTTTGGGAATTTCCCGAAACACAGAACAAATTCTTGTCCTTTTCATTACATTTTCTGTCTTCTTTTAAACGAAAAACACAACGTACGCAGTCTCTCTCATATATGCGCGCATATATATATATATATATATATATTATTTTAAAATTTTCGTTAAATATCTATAAAAATATAACTATTCTTATAACTATGATTACATATGGAATAATTGTTTTTTTTCTTTCAAAAGTCACATTAATATTTGTTGACAGGAACATGAATTAATAATCTTCAATTTGATGGATAGAATCTATAATGGAATCTTAAGATTTTTCCCCCTTATACTATACTCATTATTTTCAGGATCATAAAAATAAAGGTAAAATCTCTAAAAAATTTAAACTTATAAAATGATAAAAAAAACTAAATTTTAAACTTTTTATTTAACAAATTTATATTTAAATTTATAAAATATCTCATTATAATTTTTAAACTTGTTAATTAGTATACGAAAAAATTTCGACGATATAATGATCAATTTTACAAGTTTAGAAATATAATGATACATTTTACAAGTTGAAAATAAATTTGTTAAGTTAAAAGTTTAGAAACTATTTCTCTACATCTTACAAATTTAGGAAATTTTATAGGGTTTACCCTAAAAATAACAAATTATTTTCATGAGATTAAGAAAACAAGAGAGAAGAGTGGATAAAAAATTGAGAAATGAATTGCAAGAAGCGACACAAGAGGGTGGGACCCTATGAATCAGAAGGTCAATATGAGATATGAATTCAATGGCGAGGAAGAGAACAAGAAGGAGAGTGGACTTTGAAGTTAAAAGCCAAAATCGGCAGAAGGGTAAAATTTGTCTCTTATGGGAAAGGACACACACAACACACAGGCTTTGTGATGGGCCCACAATTAATGGGCCCACTCCATAAGCCCATTTACTTCTCGCTGTCCTTTGTCCTCCACGTCATTCCTAATCTATTCTTGTCCTGAATAGTGAATAGGGAATCTAATCCATAGTCTCACTTGAGGTTTTCACTTCGGTAATGTTTGTTTACGAGTCATTTAGTTCTGGAACTAAATAAATAGTTTTAAAGTATTTTCTATTTGAGTTGGATATTTTGATTTGAATATGTAAAATTGATTCGAATAATACAGATTATATAGAAATAAACCTTTATTTAAAAAAACTCTGACTTTTTTAAACTGAATTCTGATGGAATATAAAATCCGGAATTATAAAATACGAAAGCTTTATTATAAAATAATATAATTTAATGAAAATCGATTTGGATAATAAATGATTAAATTCAAAATAATTAAATTATTCACATGGTAATGCTGTGGGTCATTTAATTATATGTTTTGGGTTTTAGTTCATTTGATTTGGAAAAAAAAATATGCTGTTGAAACATATTTTTATTTTGTAAGGATCAACTTTCATTTGATTAGGTTTAACTTAAAAGTAATGTTTCAGTTTCCATCCATAATTTTTTGAATTTAAAAATGCAAATATGAGAAATTAGTTTATAATTTAAAAAATTAAAGGACGTAATCGGGATTTTGAACCCGACGTGAATCGAACACGCAACCTTCTGATCTGGAGTCAGACGCGCTACCATTGCGCCACGGATCCTTTTGTGTTTTTATTGTTATATATAATACATCCAGTGTATTTTTTCTTTTTTTGACTAAATTATTTGAGCAAGCGTATATCTGAAAAGGGTCAACCGTCAATTCATGCCCCTGATGACGTAGACATAACAATAAAAGAGAGGAGAGAGAGAGAGAGAGAGAGGAGACGGTTGTATTGTTGACGATATATAGCATTTCTATTTTTTCAATAAAAAAAAAAACATATCAGTCTATAAATCATTCGAGCAAACGTTTATGTAATCTCAATATTGTTATCCCCTTTAAATGGCAAAATTCGAACTTGGTGACTGTGTGTGTGTATATATATATATATGGAGGAGAAGCTAAATTACAGAAATATATTCTAGTGGGATGAGATCCTTCAATAGAGTAAATTTAATTTTGATACTTGAAAATACGTTTAAATCAGATGAAACCATTTGAAATGATCAAGTGTCACAAAACTTCGTTTGCTGAAGTTGTTTAAAATATATACAATTAGAATCACTAAAATTCTCAAATTCTGTTTCGAAATCCAAAACAACCAATCAGAATTTCATGTTTGTGTAAATAATATCCAAAAAGTTGATTTGATTGGTATTATACACCAAAAAATAAATGTCGAAATAGTTATATTTTAAATGAAGTTTAAATTTATCTTCAAAATTAAATAACAAAAAATGTGGGTAAAATTTGTATCCAATAAAAGAATATAAAAATTAAATAAATATGTTTTTGCAAAATAAAAAATCTATTTGAAATTAAAAAATCCAAAATATCTATACGTACCTAACATTATTATTTATGTTTCACATTTCAACAAAAAAAAATGGAGACTGTTATATCTATCTAACAAGTAAATAAATTATACATTTGGTTTATCATATTATATTAGAAAACCCAACCCACTAGTCATTTATATAATTCCAATTTAAACTGACACTTTCTATTTGTATATATATTACGGTTTGTAATAAATAGTTGAAAAGCGTTACATGAGAAAAATTAAATAACATTTAATGTAAACCGTTACGCACAAACTACGCGACAGTTTTTTTATTCGGAAACAAACTAATTATTTATTCGAGTGCAGTCGGACTTAATACTTATATATAGTTATAAGGTAAAACATTAAAAAAAAGCTTTATTTTTTTTTATAAATTTAAATAAATTTTATTCTTAAAAACGTATACAAAAAATATAAAAAAAATAAAAATTTAAAACCCCAACCCGCGCATCTATATAAAACTTCAGATTTTATAAATATATTTCAGAACGATTTTTTATTCATTTGTATTTCTAATTTAATTTAAAATATACTTATAATATGTCATTATTGTTATAAATATAATGTATACAATTTAATTCGAAATGAATAAATTCATAAATGTATTTGTGATTAGTTTTTCATAAAAAATTACTTTTTATTTATGAATAGCTAGAGTTTCAAATAATTGTATAATAAGAATTTTTTGGATATTTTGATCACATATAATAATGTTTAAATAATTAGTTGAAAACCGTTACATTTAGAAGTCCGATTAACGTTTCATGATAATATCGAATGCTATTCAACACTTGCGCCTAAAATATTCACAATAATACCGTGGTCTCTTAGACTAACGAGTATAATATATATATATATATATTACTTTTGTTTTTAGTATCTTTCAAATTTTTAACTATATTTTTTCACTTCCATGAAAAAAAAAACAATGCCGACAAGAAAAAAGGTATTTAAATATCTATTAATCTTAATATAATACTTAATATATTAACATATTCAATATATTATAAGCCTATGAACTCTCAATTTTAAACAAAAAAATATGGAGTTTTGGAATATTTTTGTTGTCCTACGTGTCCTGTTAGGTTAACAAAATTTATTTATTATTATACGTATATTTTGTTGATTTGCTCCCGAAAAAAATTTGATGAAATACATAGCAATTGAGATATTCTTGTTGAAACAAAGTAATGTTTAGATTTGTCAAATAAAATAAAACAATTTATATCTGTATTTTTTTTTAAAAATTATTCTGTTTTGTAACAATTTGTTCTGCTTTGAATTTGGTTCAGTAGAATTAAAACCGAACCTACTCAAATTAAATTTTTATTTCACAAATCGAAATATATTGTTTCAATTAGTGGATTTAAGCACTATTCATATGATTAGTTCGTTTATGTGCCAAGTCAACATTATTTACTAATTTTTCTTTAGATTTGATAGAACGTATGGAAAAATTTGGAATAATATTGAAATTTATAGAATTTTTTTTATAAAATTTATGGTATATAGATTTATATGATAATGTCCACTAAGCAACCAATGAGAAGAGGACACGTCAAACTGCATGTGTTCTCAGTACGTTTAGTGTCTTCTTCAAGTAGATTCCTCTCATTTATGACCAATCAAATTATAAGATTCTCGTGTATTCCAAATGATAAACACAAATATTTCCATTTTTTTTAGGCATCCCATACCATGATAAGCTGCGTAGTAATGAATTAAATTAACATTCAGTGTAGAAAGTTAAAATAATTTATCAGAATTATAGAAGGGGGATTAAAATTTTTTTTCCGAAATAAGTTTATGTAATGAGTTTGTGTATTTAATGTGGTTAAATGAGTTAAAATTCTGAACCTTGTAAGAGCATAACAATTTGGGTTTTTATATTTAAAAGAAGAAGATGAACTTAGTTAATTTCTTAATGATAAATTTTTAATCGAAATTTTTTAATTCCACTGTATTATTTGCGAATCATATCCAATTACTTTATTTGTTAAAATTGTTTGATATTATATATATATATATATATAAAATATTGTCTAAATGTATCATTATAAAGATACATGGTGTTATTGTAGCTATTCGCAGACATTACCGCAAGGGTCTCTTCTTCTTCTTCTAATATGCCGTTCATAAACCAACGCTAAGTTAGTACTCTCTCTCTCTCTCTTCTTCTTCTTCAACGCAGCCAAAAAAAAAAAAGAAGATGAGAGCTTTCGATACTCATCATCATCAGCAGCATCTTCTTTCTCTGCTGCTGCAATGGCACATCGTCTCGATTTTCCCGCTTCTTCTCACGCCATGCTTCGCCTTCACTGACATGGACGTACTCCTCAAGCTCAAATCCTCCATGATCGGACCCAACTGTTCCGGTCTCCACGACTGGAAACCTTCCTCTTCTCCGGCCGCTCACTGCTCCTTCTCCGGCGTCTCCTGCGACTCCGACGGTCGCGTCGTCTCCCTCAACGTCTCCTTCACTCCTCTCTTCGGCACGATTCCGCCAGAGATTGGGATGTTGAACCGTTTGGTGAATCTGACCTTGTCGGCGAACAATTTTACTGGTGGATTGCCTGTGGAGATGAAGAATCTCACCTCTCTGAAGTTCCTCAATGTGTCGAACAATGGCAACCTCACCGGCGATTTTCCCGGTGAGATTGTCACGGCGATGACGGAGCTCGAAGTGCTCGATGCGTATAACAACGCCTTCACTGGGAAGTTGCCGCCGGAGGTCTCTGGGCTTAAGAAGCTAAAGTATCTCTATCTCGGCGGGAATTTCTTCGAGGGGGATATTCCGGCAAGCTACGGAGACATCGAGAGCTTGGAGTTTCTCGGACTCAACGGCAACGATCTCTCCGGCGAGACGCCGTGGTTTTTGTCTCGGCTGAAGAATCTGAGGAAGTTGTTCATTGGTTATTTCAACAAGTACACCGGAGGGATTCCGCCGGAGTTCGGCGAGTTGACGAACCTCGAGATCCTCGACATGTCGAGCTGTAATCTCACCGGCGAGATTCCGGCGAGCCTGGGGAATCTGACGCGTTTGAACACGTTGTTTCTTCAGTTCAACAATCTCACCGGGAAAATACCGCCGGAGCTGTCCGGGATGGTGAGCTTGCAATCTCTGGATTTATCCGTTAACCAACTAACCGGAGAGATCCCACAGAGCTTTTCCACTCTCCGGAACACCACTCTGATCAATCTGTTTACGAACAATCTGTACGGTGAAATCCCATCGTTCATCGGAGATTTCCCGAATCTCCAGGTTCTTGAGGTGTGGGAGAACAATTTCACGTTCGGGTTGCCGGAAAATCTCGGCCGGAGCGGAAAGTTGCTGAAGCTCGACGTGTCTAATAATCATCTCACTGGGTTGATTCCCAGGGATTTGTGTAGAGGTGGGAAGTTGCTGACGCTGATTCTCTCGAACAATTTCTTCTTCGGTCCGATACCGGAGGAACTCGGCAAATGCAAGTCTCTGACCAGAATCCGGATCGTGAAGAACCTCCTCAACGGGACTGTTCCGGCAGGGTTCTTCAACTTGCCGGTGGTGACGATCATCGAGCTCACCGACAATTTCTTCTCCGGAAAACTCCCGGCGGCGATGTCTGGCGGCGAGCTCGACCAGATTTACCTCTCGGACAACTGGTTCTCCGGCGAGATTCCTCCTGCAATTGGCAATTTCCCAAAGCTGAGGACACTATCTGTCGATAGGAACCGATTCGGCGGCGAAATCCCCAGAGAAATCTTCGATTTGAAGCATCTCTCGGAGATCAACATCAGCGCGAACAACATCGCCGGAGCAATCCCTCGCTCCATCACTCGCTGCACCTCCTTGATCTCCGTCGATCTCAGCCGCAACCGTCTCGCCGGAGAAATACCCAACGGAATCGTGAATCTGATCAACCTCGGAATCCTGAATCTCTCCTGGAATCAACTCACCGGCCACATCCCCACCGAGATCGAGAACATGACGAGCTTGACCACTCTCGATCTCTCCTTCAACGACCTCACCGGAAAAGTCCCTTTCGACGGCCAGTTCATGGTCTTCAACGACTCATCCTACACAGGAAACCCACGCCTCTGCCTTCCCCACCGTGTCGCGTGTCCTTCACGCGCCGGGAAAACCTCCGGCGAGGGTGAAACGACATCGTTCTCAGCCTCGGGGCTAATAATCACGGTTGTCTCACTAATCACGGCCTTAATGCTGATTAGCGTAACGGTCTACCAAATCAACAAGAAAATGCATCAGAAATCCCGCGCGTGGAAGCTAACCGCGTTCCAACGACTGGACTTCAAAGCAGAGGACGTCCTCGAGTGCCTAAAGGAAGAGAACATCATAGGCAAGGGCGGGGCAGGGATCGTATACCGCGGGTCCATGCCGAATAGCGTGGACGTCGCGATCAAACGCCTCGTCGGTCCGCGTGGAACGAGCCGTAGCGACCATGGGTTCGCAGCCGAGATCAAAACCCTAGGCCGTATCCGTCACCGCAACATCGTGAGGCTACTCGGTTACGTGTCGAACAAGGAAACGAACCTCCTGCTCTACGAGTACATGCACAATGGGAGCCTCGGGGAGCTATTGCACGGGTCGAAAGGCGGGCATCTTCAGTGGGAGACGAGATATAGAGTAGCTGTTGAGGCCGCGAAAGGGCTGTGTTATCTTCACCATGACTGCTCGCCGTTGATATTGCACCGTGACGTGAAGTCTAACAACATCTTGTTGGATTCGGATTTTGAGGCTCATGTCGCTGATTTTGGTCTCGCTAAGTTCTTGGAAGATGGAGCTGTTTCCGAGTGTATGTCGTCCATTGCTGGATCCTACGGATACATAGCCCCAGGTACGGAAATTTTGTATTCAGGAATGTACAACGATTTGGTTCGGCTCGAGACTAAACCACCATGAGCTCGTTGAACTAGCTAACTAAGAACGAGTTGTTCCGAACCAGTTCACCGGTTTCGTGAACCACAACTCAATTCACACTCCTATTTATATTTGAAACCGGATTATAGATTTCATATCCTTCAGACTATTTTTATTGTTAATAATGTTCTTATGATCTTTTTTTGTTTATAATGCATAACAGAGTATGCCTACACGTTGAAAGTGGACGAGAAGAGCGACGTGTACAGCTTTGGAGTGGTTCTACTGGAACTGATAACGGGGAGGAAACCTGTGGGAGAGTTCGAGGACGGGGTGGACATAGTGGGGTGGGTGAGGAACACGGTGGCCTCCGAGATACCGATGATCGATCCCTCGGATGCGGCCACAGTGATAACGATCGTCGACCCGAGGCTGACGGGGTACCCGATAAACAGCATGATCCACATGTTCAAGGTCTCGATGATGTGCGTGGAGGCCGAGGCCACGGCTCGGCCGACTATGAGAGAGGTCGTCCATATGCTCACTAACCCTCCTCGGTCAGTGACCAACTTCATCACTTTCTGACTCTGTTTTCGTTGAACCATGGAATTTGGTTGCTTATTATGTTATGGGTCAAAATTAATTCGTGTTTGGAATTGGTAATAATAATAATTTTGTGTTGTTCGTACAAGTGTAGTGAGGGGTCTATGTGAAATACTTGTGCTGTTGTATATGTTAAGTTTTAATTTGTATATTACGTTTTGTGTTGTTATGCATTCATATATTTATGATTGCTATGCATCGGGATTTCGGTTCGGTACAGCGAAATTGATCAACCCAAACCAATCTAAACCAAACCCAATCTAGTTTGGTTTTTCAATTGATAATTAAGATCGTCCCTTCTTAAACCTTTATAAATTAAGGTAAGTTTTTTTAAATCTATTTAAATATAATAAAATTACTGTTAATTTCACTATCGAAATAATATTCCATGATATTTGATTTTACTGATTCAATGCGAATTTAAAGCAAAGCCGAGTCGAATAACAATCGATAAATTTATACCGATCCAAATCAAATCAAATTGTTTTCTTAGATTTCATATATATAAATCAAACCAAACTGACCGAACTAAACCCAATAAAATTTGTTAAAGAGTGTTGTAATGTTGTCTACAATAATCATGCAAATTATGAAAATGGTTTTTTTTACTCGGTGGATTATGAATATGATTATGGTTACTATTATGTTTATAGGTAGTTTTGTTGAGGTTGACTTCTTTCTTGTAAAATTTTGGAACTTTTTTTTAATGTCTTAGAGATAAAATTCATTTAATGTATTTATTAATTTTTTAAAATTATTTTGTCTAACCAAACCTTGCTTTGTATTGTTTTTTTTTTAAAAAAAAAACATTTTAAAAGAATTGGCTCATTTTTCATTTTGAATTAAACGAGCAAAAGCCTTCTCCTTTTTCCGCCATTTTTCCTTGGTTCTAGATCTGAGAGAGAAGAGCCATGGAGGAGAATCGGAAAAGTCCCACTCCTCCGCCGTGTCCCTCATCCGTAACAGTACGCCGGAATCCTCACCGGAAAGCTAGAGCTACGCCGTGGACCACCACGTCTAAGCCTCTCGCTGTCGCTCCGGCCTCCGCGAAGCCGCACGATGTCCCCGCCTTCCCGATCGACGAGATTCTCTCGATGCAGGTTCTCCAACCCGAGTCTAAATCACCACCGGTCTTGGAGAATCTGAAGGTGTTTCTCCGAATCAAACCCTTGAAAAGCTGTACGAAGGTAGCCGCGAAGAGCAGACCTAGAAATGTCTGGCCTCAGAATCCGTCGAAGAAGAACAGGAATCCGGAGATCGCAAAGAAAATGAAGACGAGCGAAGAGGTTTGTATTACTGTTAACGATCCATGTTCTGTCACTCTCACTCCGCCTTCTGCATTGCAAGAGCTGAAACGGAGCAAGACTGAGGTGTACGAAGGGTTTTCCAACGTATTCCCGCCCAATTGCTCTCAGGTTCGATAACCTTTTCACATAAATTGAACTCTCATTCGCCAGAATTTTCGAGGGCATGCGTATTGAGGAAGTTTTTGTCGTATTTTTGTGTAGAGTGATGTGTATGAAAAGATGGCACATCCTTTGTTAGAGGATTTCCTGAGAGGGAAAAGTGGAATGTTGGCTGCTTTAGGGCCTAGCGGCTCGGGGAAGACTCACACTGTTTTTGGGAGTCCGAGGGATCCTGGGATCGTGCCACTTGCCCTGCGTCGAATTTTCTCGCAGAAGGATGAGAATTCTCCCGGATCATCTAGGTAACTTTTCGGTAATCTTGGTTGATTTGATGATCATGGGAAACATTTGCAACTGTGATACATTGTGAATATACCGGTAGAAGAAAACAAAGTTATATTGTTGATCACAGTTTTTTTTGCAGTTCCCTTCTTATCTTTTGCTAATGTGAATTCTTCAGGTTATTTTACTTATCAGTATTTGAAATATGTTCTGAACGAGGGAAAGGAGAGAGGGCTTCTGATTTACTACGAGGTGGAGGTTCTGAGTTGTCTGTGAAACAGTCAACCATCAAGGGTTTGCAAGAGGTTTGAACTTTTTTCAGGGTCTTTGTTTGATGATGATGAACTTCCCCATGTACGTAGTAGTACTCACCTTTTTCCTTTTTCTTTTTAACCATTGCGCAATGTAGGTACTGATCAAGAACGTTGAAGAAGCAGAGTCCTTAATCGGGCAGGCCGTTCTGAAACGTGCAACAGCTATGACTAACTCAAATAGCCAATCCAGGTAAATGGAGTTAAAATTTTCATCTTGATAGCCCTTTTTAGCCACGCGTAAAAAATGGCTTGGAAGGTGGAAGCTCTTTTGCTGAAAAGCCTTTGTCAATAATCTTAAGCCATATACCTTCACGTCTTCATTCATTTTGGATACACTTTCAGTCGCTCACAGTGCATCATTAACATACGAGCTGCCTGTGTTGACTCTCCCAATGGAAGTGGAGTTCAGTCTAGTGATGCTATGCTGACAATAGTGGACCTGGCAGGAGCAGAAAGAGAGAAAAGAACTGGGAATCAGGTTTTAGTTCACTTTGTTTAGATTTCTGTATCGATTTTGTTTCGTAAGATACCTGACATGCAAGGTCCCTGAACTATATCATGATTGCAAGTTTGTGCCGTGTGAGTATGCAGTCCATACAATACTTGAAAAGCAACTTGATAAAATAAACATGACTAAATGGTATCATTTTCGGTACTTCTTAGCATCACAGAAGGCATCAGTTCATATTGCATGTTTACTGGATCTTTTAATAAAACTTTGTGATCTCATGGCACTTTATCCATTCAATATCTTTTTCAGGGAGAACGGTTGGTTGAGAGTAATTTCATCAACAATACATCTATGGTCTTTGGCCAATGCTTGCGGGTAGGTCCTTTGAAGTTTGAACTCCCTGGGATGGCCTGGTCTGTCTTCTCTGGAGGACTGTACTTTAACTAAAGATTGTTGCTCCTTGCTCTGCATTTTTCTTAGTCATTGCTGGAGTATCAGAAGAACCGAAAGAAGGGATTACAGAAACATTACCAGAATTCTTTGGTAATGCATACCTATAATACATTCCTTAGAGAGTTCAGTTTACATGAAAGTTTTCCAATGGTTTATGTGTAACTTCTCGTTTGCTTATTATTCCTTTTTGCACCTGTTTATGCTGCTAATATGCTTTCAATTATGTGTAGCTGACAAGGTACTTGCGAGATTATCTGGAGGGCAAAAAGAGGATGGCTTTGGTATGAGTATTTGACTGTGTTGATTTTGCCCGAGTTCTTGTGCTATCTATCATATATCTCGACCCTGATATTGTGAAACCTTTATCTCCTCGAACCTGGCTATTTGTTTTGCAGATCTTAACTGTCAAAGCAGGAGAGGAGGACTATCTTGATACTTCTTTCCTTCTAAAACAAGCTTCACCTTATATGAAAATCAAGTAATATTCCTTTCCGAAAACAAATCCAGTAATATCTTCGCTATTATGATCTCAAAAAAGTTGAAATTCATGGCTATCACATACACTAAACTATTCTCTTTTGGAACTTTATTTAGGTTTGACAATGCTGATGAGCCTTGCAACAAGAGGCAGCTCCAGACATTTCCAAGATCTGGGATAAACAAGAGAATCAAACTCAGTGCTCCCAAGACTTCTCAAGTTCTTCACTGACTTTCTCTAAACATATTACTGGGTCTTTTGTGAAATCGTAATTCTGTAGAGTATACATCATTTGCCTATTATGTTGCCTTTTCGTCCATAGGTCGAAGATGTCGTTGGCGGTGAGAAAAATCAAGTTTCTGCGGAAGGTAAGCTGCTGGCTATGGCAATTACTCCAAATATATTGATTGCATGCAGTTTATTCTCTTCCCTATTTCCTTTTGGCATATCTAATACATTTCTGGTCCAGTGTGTTTGCGGGCAGAGAAAGCTGATAAAAAGGATAGATCATCTCCTGGGCTGGACAGGGATAAAAATGAAAGAGACCATATCATTATGCGAAATTTTGCTAAAGTTTTATGGAGTGTCTTGAAGCAGTACAATGAAAAACTAAAAGTAACGTTCTTGCCGTTGACTTTTATTTTCCTTTGTTATCATTCGCCAGCTTTGTGATATAGCTATGCTTTGAAGCTAAGGATGTCCTTACCCAAAGATTATGTCAATTATTTTATAACAGTTTGATAAGATTTGACTTGTATTATAGGTTGCAGAAAGCGAAATCTGTAGTCTCAAAGACAACCTTGGGAATGAAAAGCTAAAATCTCTTGGATTAGAGAAGGAGTTGATCAGTCTCAGGTCTGCTTGCCTGTCTTCCAATCAAAAACTGGCCGAAGCATGCGTTCCTGAGGTAGAAGCAGCTGTACATGCTAAAGAACCTTTCGCAGTTGATGCAAGTTTGGTTAGTGAGGTAGCAGTAAGCTTGAAGTACTAGTTTGGGTTACTGTGTTATTATTTAAAAACATTTGAGAAGTCTCACTAATATTCAGAGGAACGCGAATGGTGATTATTCTGGTGCTATTGAGACAAAGGGTGATGCTAACGCGAAAGTATGCCGTGAATCTGTTGCAGCAAGCAAATCTGTGGTACATCACTGTTACACTTCCATCTATTTCCAATTTTTCATGTATAATTTATGCATAAACTGAAGTATCTAACCTTCTATTCATGTGTCAAGGTCAAAGATGCTGGACTCGTTCAACGTTCGATGTCTTCAGATAATGGTGAACAACCAAGAGTAAGACTAGTCGATAATTCCTTCTATAACTTACAAATTTGTGCAGGAAATCTGTTACGGTCCCGGGTTATGGATCTTGTTATGGGTCTGCGGGATAGGAATTCAATGGGTGTTTGGATGATTTGGTTGGGGATTTTCTTCTTACGACCTATGATTGCTTAATTCAGGCTCAGAAGTGAGAACCTAAAAACCTCTTGAGAATAGAGTTCTCAAAAACTGAATTGAATTTTCAAGATACCCCTTTTCCATTCAGTTCTTAGCATTTAAAAATACACAAACGTAGGAAATAACTTCCCCTAATAACAAGGAAATAAAATTGCCTATTTTAGGAACTCCTCTTCCCACTATGGAGAAACAAGATACAAAGTTGGAGGATCCCCTCCTATAATACTGGAAGAAAAGTACAGAACATAAAATAAAAGAAACTTCTTGCCAGCTCGTTTCTTAGATGTAATCCGTAGAGACTTTTTCCACCCGTGAGGGAACCGCTTGTAAACCTTCAGTGGTTTGCTAACAAAATCATGTTGGTCTTTTATTATTGTGCACTGGTTGACAGCCTGTGAGTTCTGATGACATTGTGGGTATCGCTACTACGTCTCTATATGTTGAAATCGGAAGTGTTGACCACCAAAGAGATCAGGTAACTGTGTCGTTTTGCTTCTTTTTGGCCTTGCAACATAGTCATATTTTGGTTAAGAATTGACTCTAGAGCACTATGAACTCATTCCCGTTTTGCTGAATGTCGCAGTGCTGTGACAATTCTGCAGTGGCTGAAAACAAGGACAAGGATTCAAATGAATCCAATGGTTTGAAAATCAAGGACAGCCATCATGGATTGGACGTAAAAGGTTATTCTCACTCATATGAAACAAGTAACTGGAAAAAAAATTAGGTTCAGTTCTTTCGGAATGCCATGTATTTGTTAAGCCTTTTCTGTGTGTTGAGATGCTGAATTACGCCTTTCAGGTTCAGGTTCTGTGGTCAGCTCTTCTCAATCAGGTGATAGTGATGGAAGTAGTAGCTACTCAGTCTTAGAGTTAACCCTCGAACCTCCCCGAGGGGATATGGTTAGTTGTTACCATATATTCTTACTACATTTGGATAACGATAGACAGCTAGGGTCCGAATTATCATTTTGATCGGTCCGACAGATTAGTGACCTAAGACTAGCTTTTGTGAATTTTAATTATCTTAAATTGCATCCCATTGTCTTCACATTCTTCCTTAGGGTACCTCTGTAGTTTAAATGATTTAACAAGCCATTACATATTCTGTAGTTTGAGAGCCTTAACGCACAGCATCTTCTAGTTTTACCTGGAAAAACGATTTAAAAAGCTTATGTTGTTTCTTTCTGGCTAATCTTGAGTCAAATGCTTGAGAAAACTGATACTCATGTACTCTCCAGGTTGAAGATGCTTCAACACTTTCACCAAAGCAAGTTGAATATCCTCGGGAATGCAGCAACGGGTTGTCTGATATTCCAACCAAATCTACAAGATCCAGCAGATCTCCAAATTCAGAGGAAAAAGAAAGGTCTGTCCAAAATGTTTTCTGCTTTCACATTGGATCCCCTCATAAGTTGATGGGTCTTTAAGCTTTCAATTTCTCTCTTTAAATTCTCTTTGGTTATGTTATCAAACTAGGTTGCTCACATCATCTGAATTGCTGGCTGAGGAAAAGAATTCCTCGGATATGAAAAAGACTGACAAATCACAGGTTTGCTGCTTCATTTTTGGCTGATCTTCTACCAAGCGCTTGGGATACCAATTCTCTTTATGTCCCCAGGAAGAAAACGCTCCGACACCTTCAGAAAAGCAAGTTGAAGTTAGTCAGGAATGCTACAATGTGGTACTTGATAACCAATCGAAAACTTCAACTTCCCCAACAGTTCCTGATTCCGAGGAACCAAAAAGGTAATGTCAGAATGAATTTGAGGGTTTCCCGTTGGATTCTAACCCCTTAACCATATTTTTGTGAAACTGTGCTCATCAAAACCTCTCTGTCTAAATTCTCTTTGCCCATATTGCAGAAACAGGAGATTATTCCCCTCAACATCTGGATTCCTGGCCGATGAAATGAACCCATTGGACATCGAAAACACGACAGAAAAACCAAAGGTTTGCCATTCCGGCTCTCCCCTCTGGTTTTTGTTATGCGTATAAGTTCTTGATTCTCAAGCTGATGCAACACCGATGAGGAAATAATTTTTTTTTATATATTTCTTCCTCATCTATAGGATCAAACTCTTGTTAAACCCGTAGCTGAATCAGCTCCGGGCCATGACACTGAAGTGGCTGACAACAAATCAAAAGCAGCCTCGACCAAGAAACCCAAGAAAGCAGAGAAGCCCAAAAGGTTCATCACTAAATCAAAACAGTCTCTTTCTTTGCAGTTGCTTTGTTTCTCTCTTCTCCCATTTGTGAACATACTTTGTTCATACCGACAGGAGGCTTCTACCGGCTTCATCTGTGTTACTTACAAGAGACATAAAAACGCTCGACATTGAGGACGACGTCATGGAGACAAAGGTAAACATCCGTTTCACACGATACATTGGCCAAATTATTCACGTAATTCTTGAATTTACGTACCAGTATGTTTCGTATTTGGTTTGGATTCAGTTACTGTATTAGGGGTGACTGTAAACTCTCATTACTTGAAATGGGCTTTGTACCATTGTTGTTGCAGTAATTCTAAAGTGTAGAATTACGATAAATTCTCCATAATTGTGAATGGACGATGTTATGGATAGGGGAATAGAGGTGGGAGGAAGAAGACAATGGAAGAAGGAAAACAGAGAAGCCAAGGAAGTGCCACTCTTTTTCGCCTTCTCACTACCAATCTTCGTCTCTAACATATCATGGGAGGCAAACGTATGTATGTATGTATACTCTCCCTCTCTCTCTCTCTCTCTCTCTCTCTCTCTCTCTCTCTCTCTCTCTCTCTCTCTCTCTGTGTTTATTTCTTGCACTCATATACGTTGTTGGATAACTCAATCTGAATTGTCTACAAGTATGTTGGCTTTCGGGTTTTTTTTTTCCATGTTTGGTTTTGTGTCTGTACATAGAAGTTTCTACTCGTGATTTGTTGTTTGGAGTGCCAAGTCGTCTAGATCATTTATCTGTTTTTTTTTTCGTTTTTCTTTTCTGGGATTTCAATTTTCTGTGCTAAAAAAAAGAAATAAATGATTAGCTAAATTTTGTTCAATTATTAAAATAATTATATATTAACAGAAAAACAAAGTTTGTTATATTCATTATATAATGTCAAAGTTTGAAATCTTCTCTCTTTTTTTTTATAAAGAAATTCATTATATTGGGTTCAAAATTTGGTGGTTTTCATATTGCCTAAAGGTAATAGGATGGAGCCCCGCACACGCATTGGCCTAGTCCATATATTATTTGTTCTTAATAATCATCACGCATCTTATATAGTTTATATATCTCAATAATTTCAGGTTTTTCTGTGTGATCAAATGTTTACAAAGATTTTACGACGTTCGATTTATCTTCACCACGTGAGTAGTATTTGCATTATACTGTATTATGTTTTGTGACATGAAAATTGAATGTAAATGAAATTTAAAAAATTCGAATTCATCTAAATCTAATATAAAAATTAAATATATATTTTTGAAAAAAAAAAAGTCTGAAACTCAAACCAAGTCAAAACCCAAACAAAATATCTTATCATGATTTGGAGAAAAGTTATTTGTTAAATTTACAAAAATCGATACAAAGAACCCTAATTTACAAGCTACTTGAACACAAATACCCAAATTTTATGTCACTCTCACTATACATTATTTATCTAATGTTTATTCTTTACGCAATTATTCACTCATCGGCTTTGCACTTCATACACATTTTCAACCCCAACAAACTCACCCCTAAACCAACAATTTAAAAACCCAGTTCTTCTGATATATATATATATATATATATATATATATATATGTATATATTATATCAATTCTCATAGATCACCGGCGTACGGAATGTGCTGTGGAAGCCTGAACCGGACCTGAGACGCCGGCGACCGGACCGCCACTCCGTGCCAACAGATCCCTCCACGGCAGATCCCTCCGACGTGGTGGCTCCGATCTTCTCCGCCGCCGCGGCTGCACCGCGAAACCGCCTCCGCCGCCCTGAGCGAGACGTCCCAGGCGAGAGTTGCGAAGATGACGGCGGCGACGGCGGAGATCGAGGCGGCTAGGAGAAATCCAGGGCCGAAGCTCCTACCGGAGAGGAGTCCGTACGCCTTGATGGCGACGATCACCGCCACGTAAATCGCCGTGATGTTACCGAGCACCGCGTCTGATAACGCCATTGGATACATCAGATGCTCGATTTTCGCAGTAGCGCGTCTAACACACCGTCGTGCAGATCGGGGAAATACAAAAATTTTGGGGATTGAAGAAAAGGAAAATTACGAAAATAGGCAGATTTTTTCCTCTCTTCGGATCATTTCGCTCTGTTTCATTTTTTCTTTTTTTTTTTCTGTTGTTTTTTTTTTGGGTGAGAACAAATGGAAAAGAGAACTTTGAAACTACACCGTTTTTGGAGCCGTCAGTGTGACGTGAGCATTAAATACATTAACGTATTTTGCAAGATAATTCTCTTTTTTTTATTTAAAGATTTTTACTAATTCGATTTAAATAATATAATATTGTGTGTGCATATATATATATCTTCGGCCCTACCTTTTTCACTTGGAATAAAACCTAACAATAACTTTCCATCTATGAGGTAGCGTGAGAGTTTAAAATAAATTCATATGAATAGGCTAGGGTTTAATGCGCCGTTTTGAATTATATATATATATATATATATATATATATATATATATATGTATTGGAAAATCGGATATTTTGAATCAAAATTCAGGTTAATTCTTTTTTTTTTGGTAAAAAAAAAATTCAGGTTAATTCTAGTTCCGAAGACTTGAATAATATATATTTTGTAAGCAAGAAAGAAATATAACATTTCTTTTTGTTCGGAAAAAGGGTCACCATGATGATATTAAAAAAAATGAATCGAACCAAACCAGAATGCAGATTTTAAAAATTTTGAATTAATGAATATCCAGATTGTGCTAAATTGAATTCGCACAATAAACATATTTTTTTAATATTAATTTGGTTTGATTTGAATACAAGTATCTAAAAATAGTATACTGATCGAGACTTAGCTCAGCTTATATCATATGAACGAATGTCTAAATCCGCATTTCATGCAAAACATTCGTAATTACGCAAGTTAGGTTGGGTGGTGAGTGAGCCCTAACCATGCATTTCCCACAATAAAGTTATTTTATATAATGCAATGTAAATAAATTCAACATTTAACTTAATTAAGAAAACAAAAATATATATATATTTATTTAAATGATTTGTAATGCTCTCATTAACTTCCATCATATTAATGACAAAGGTTAATAATATCGTGGTTGGTGTCTTTCAATTTATTGGTTTTATCTTTAGGTTGTTACTAGTGTCTTTCTAGCTTGGTTATTTTTGTTATTTTGTTTTGAATATACACAGAAATATCGCATATATATATATATATATATATATATATATATATATTATGTAGTGGGTGCGTACAATAAAATGCCAAGAACATTTTGTGATATGGGCATTTATATCAAAATTAAATTGAGAATTGATTAGAAAGATACCTCTAGATTTAGCAAGACTTGATTTCTGCCCCAAGTGCCACTATATGACATTTTATTTATTCTATAACAACATTTTATGTATATATACGCACACGGGCCTGTTAGGCCATTACATACATAAAATGTTTAGGCATTGACTGTTTGTAGTTTTTCCAATTAATTTTTAAAAACACAAAAAGTATCTAATAAAAATTTTGTTTATTTATTTATTTATTTATTTTTTCTAAAAAATCCGTTAACCATTTTTTTAGGTAAACCGTTTTCTAAAAAAATTAAGGAAAAATCAAAACCACTTTCCATATATTTTTAGCTAAAAAATCTTATTTCTTAAAAGTTTTTTTTCATTTTCTATTAAATATTAATTATATAAAACATTTAAAAGATAACAATACCCATAGTTTTAAAGAAAATTTTACTTTATACATACATATGTATAACATTCTTTTTCGATATTTTTACATTTAAAGTTTAAAATCTAGAAACTAAAATATTAGGTTTCCAATCAAGTTTTTTAAAAACTACAAAAACTATAGAAACAAAAACTAAAATCCAAAAACTCAAAATAAAAATCATTCACATTCAAAGCCTTCATAGTTAGCTCCCGAAAAATGCGAACGTTCTGTATTTGTTTCAATTTTTTTTTTTAATACGAACTCTATGTGTAATCCAAAGGTTGCGATGGATCTCTCTATGCGATATGGTGAGAAATATGATTGACCCATATCCAAAACATGATATGCTCAGATTTCTTTCTATATTCTAACCCTAACATTGTCAAAGTGAATTTTATATATACACATACTATTTTGTTAATCTAATATTTCTTAGATTTTGTTTTAAAAGTAACATAATTTATTTATACTTAGAAAAATATATAATATACGTTTTATATTTTAACATCTATGCAACAGTCAGGATGGCCGAGTGGTCTAAGGCGCCAGACTCAAGTTCTGGTCCTCGGTAGAGGGCGTGGGTTCAAATCCCACTTCTGACACTGTTGCCTTTTAAATTTTGTTTTGGGTTTTAACATTTTAATTTTATTGGGCTTTACTTTCTAATGGACTTTCTAAATGGATAATTGGGCCGATCATGGATTTAAGTTATCTTTTTTAATTTATATATATATATACAGTCTTGAAAAAAACGAGATAGAGAGTCACCAAAATAATACCAAATCATTGGTGATTCCCTCTATCTAATACAGCAAAATATAAGATAGTTTAGGGTTGATTTTTTTTTTGAATGAAAACATCAATGAACCTTTTTTCCCAAATTAAAAAAAAAATCCAATGAAGATAAAAAGCTAAAACCGTTGAAATGTGTATTCGGTGATGATGAAAACGTGGACCCTTTTAGTTTGCCAAACTTATCCATCAATGTCTCAACCGTCTGACCCTCCACATAATATTCGTATCAAATCATATCATTTTGTGTTATTTTCATTGTTGTCGCTATCCAATCATACGTTTCGATACTTTGCATTTGAGATGAAAAAGGGGTTTCATTACTATGCGATTACAAACATCACAATTATATATATATATATATATATATATATAAACTAATGAAAAAATCGATTAGGTAGATGGTTATTATTCAAATAATCGATTATTGATTGAAATTTAAAATTTTTGGCGATTTTTGTATTAAAAAAATTGGATTTTGAAATCTGAGTTTGAATCTAATGATTCGAATACACGAATTATATATATATATATATATAAATAAATAACTAGGATTTTTTTTAATATCCAATTTTGGAAAAGAGTAGACAAAATAGAAATCCAAGCTCACGGGTTTTGCATTTTCATTTATCCAAACAAATTTGGACGGGTCAAGCCGGATTCATGTTTTTCAAATAAATTTGCCGAGTCCTGCCTATACGTATATTATTATATTATATGCATGCATGCCTATACACAAATGTATATAACTTGTAATAATAATAAAAAAAGCATCATCATCATCAACTTCCCCTTGTTAATTATATCGTTATCCACTTATAATTGGTGTCTTTGGTCACCACTACTTTGCCTCTTTTCAATTAGATTACAATGATTATCTCAGTCCGTTTATTTTTACGATTTTCTTGTGGGTTTTTTCGCTTCCACGTTACGCCCCACTAGGCAAATTATATGCGACAGTTTAAAGAACACGACAATGCACCAAAAAGCAGTATTATTTATTTCATTATTTTATGGCCCACAAAACAAATAAATTAACGAAGAATACATCGCCACTTTCTCCCAACAATTAAATTAATCTAAACTAATTAAATATAGTCTTACCCCAAATCCTATATATATATATATTTAGTTTATTGAAAAAAACATAAAACCTAATTTTTGTGACCTCACATGTCTATTTTACTCCACCACCATCCCACTTTTCCTCACCCGAAGAAGGGCATTTATGTAAATTCATCGACTAACTTTCTCCGATGGCTCGATCCGACGTCGCTTGGACAAAAAGTCAAATGGGCCGGACCAAATTAAGGCCCAGTTGGGGCCCATATAGTATGGTGGATTGCCCACGTGGTAGATACTGATTGTTCAGAGCAACCGACAAAAGGCCAGCGAGAGCGCGAATGTTATCGCAAGTGGCAACAAAGACAGCTGACACGTGGACGGTGAGGATGCGCCGCTCTCATCGAACGCACCTTCGTAGATCATCGACGTATCCGCCGGCGACCACGTCGCCGTAGACGGCGTCTGAGTCGCCGGAGATGTTGTCACCGGCGGTGAAGTTCCCGTTGGGTCAGTGTTCTGATCCTGAGATGATTTCTGACTGCAAAACGGAAAAAGAATATAACCGTTAAAACGGATGCATGACGCCACGTGGCATCTCGGTACTGGAGGGTGACAAACGACGTCCATGACGGTCCGTTACCACCGATCCCGCATACCAATGGGAAATCATCTCTCTAAAGATTCACAAGGGTAAAATGGGAACAGAAAAAAGTCAGCCTTGATTCTTTGTGAAAATAAATACACGCAACTCATAGAGTCATTCACTGTCCCCAATTCGATTTTTGAAAATCCAATAAAAAAACATTATGATAATTATGAAAATGACTTCAATCACACGATAAGGAAAAAAATCATTAGTGGGTCCATTGTAGGTGGCATAAACTGACCAAAAATATCTTAATTTATTGATTTATTCAGTGAAAAAAAAAAGTTCATTACCTTAAAGTGTTCTTTACCTCAGTAAAGTTAAGGCCAAAAATACCCCAAAAGATCCATAAGATATTTTTTTAAAAATTAAATTAAATAAAAATGAAACTAAAATATATAATAAGCAGACCTCACACTAAACAGTATCTGATAGAGGGGTAGTTTCGGTAATTCACCTGGTGTTGGGAGAGGGGCAGAAGGTGATGACGTAGTCAGGGGATTTGGCGCATGTGAAGGTGCTCGTCTTGTCATCGTACGCATAACTGTAGGCGCGTGGACACGCGCTCTTGAAGATCTGAGAGTACGCCGACGGCTTGCAAGTCGCCGGCGAACCATACTCGCCGCTGCAACAGTACTCCGGTCGCCGGAATGCGTCGCAAGCGCTCCTGCACGCAGTCACCGGAGGAGTTTTCCCGGCGGCGGTTACCCGGAGCTCAGATGGGCATGAGCCGTTAAGGTCGACGACGCAGCCGGTGGTGGTGCAGTTATCGCCTGAGCCACCGCGAGGGGCGACGAGGACGGGGAGGTTGTAGCCGTCGACGAGGCTGACGTCGTAGAAATCGAGGCCGCCGGACCCGTCGAGGGTGAACTCGGCGAGGGTAGCCGGTGGAGTTGCGGTGGCACCGGAGCACTCGATCTTACCGGAGCTGCAATCTCCGGTGGCGCAGGTGAATTTCCCGGTGGTAGAGTCAGTGGAGCAGAGCGTGCGGCCCCAGAAACGACCACCCCACGACGACGGCGCGTTGATGACACGCGACTCGCCAGTCAGGAGAGAGAAGCCGGTGGTAGGGAGGGGAGGAACTCCGGCGTTCGATAGAATTCCCGGCCAAACAGTGTATCCGCATTTGTTCACTAATGTGAAGCTCGTCGACATGACCTCTTCATGAACACAAAACAGAAAAAAAAAAAAACAAAAATCACAGTCAAAGTTACAGAGCAAGAACACAGAGAATTATCTAAAAAAAGGTAACAGTGTCGGAGAAATGGAGATTATCAATGAATCATCATACCCAGAACGAAGAAACGCGAGAAAATGAGGAAAATCAATGGCGATGGCTTAGCCATTGGATATGTGGAAGAAGAAGAAGGTGAAGCTCTTTTTGTGGTGATTAATGTTTCTTCTTCTTCTTCCTCTTCGTCTTCCTTGTTGGGAGAGCTTCTGAACGGTAAAAGGCGTTGGATAAGCAGAGAGATGTATTTATGGAGAAGGAGATTCCGTGGGGGTTTTTTTTTTGTGCACCACATTTTTTTTTCTTTTAATTGGTAGTTATCCTGTGCGGGTGTACCTTTGTGATGGTGTGGTACGCTAGGCTGACGTGGATTTTTTTTTACGGATCTGTGTTTTAACCGTTGAAAATCTAACGGCTAATGCAGATTGACTCCGACGAGATCTTAGAAGCTCTGCCATCTCTAAGATTCCGATGGATACATAATGATTATTAGGGTATTAATCCGTTTGGTCCGAACCGAATCGTTATTAGCTTTGATTCAGATTTAGATCGACTCGATTTTTTTTATCTAAATAATCAAGATCGAAATCTGATTCTATAGATTCTGAATTTAAATTCGGATTGGGTCAGATCGGACCGATCCACTAAATTTATTTTTTAGAAAAAAAATCGAATTTTCGAGTCAACTTGAAACATCTAAACCCAGTCTGGAAATCTGAAAAATTTTCGGGTCTAAATATTTTACCCCGAATCCTACTATTTTTTGGATAGATCGGACTAAACTTCGGATCTCGAGATAAAATTGACACCCTAGTAATAATGCTATTAAATGTTAAAAAAAAATACAATACTATAATCTTTGTGAAAAAAAAAACAATCCTCATTGAAAGGGTTAATATGAGGCAGTCGACAAAAAAAAAAAAAAAACTGTTTTGGTCTGAAAATTACTCGTAGGAGCATGCAGTTTTTGCTAGAATTTCGTTGTAGGGTTTGAGAAAAGTACAACTACTCTTGACATTTACAATGTTGAATTATAAAATAGTATTATGTTATGTAGAGTGTGTAATATATTATTTATTAAAGATTCATTTTAGATGATATTATTAATTCTATAAATGGACGTTTCAACATACCTTCATATTGTTGTTTTTTATTCATATCTTAGTAAACACTTGCATATTTTTATATTTTATATATATATATATATATGCACATAAAATATATTAAAAGATTAATCCAGTTCGTATCCCATGTGAGAGAAGGAAATATACTAAGTCAACTTTTCCCTAACTTTTCCCTAC